GAAATAGTCTCAATCTCACAAAAAGTTTGTTCAAGTATAAACCTTTTTTTAGTCAAATGTATTTATTTTGTTTTATTTATTGGCTTATTATTTAGTGTTTAATTTTGATGTTTTTTATTCTCGTAACTTACATCCTACCATGGCAAAATATAAAAACAAAACAAAAATAAAGCTAAACGAAAACAAACAAAGAAATAACAAGAACGGACAATAAAAACTTTGATTTTTTTTCCATTCATATTATTTGGCATTATGACTCTTCAAATCTGTAGTATGAATAGATTATATACAAAATATGGCCTTAATGTTAATGATAAAACCTGTTTTTTTAGGTTTCGTAACACTATCATTAACTTTTAAACTATCTTTATTATACTGTACAAATAAAATATCTCACAAATGTTGAATAATATATCTCTGCCTTTAGAAATTTCTGTGGTTTTGTAACATGCACTTGACCTATATTTCACCTATGGAAAATCAAACTGCCTTTATTTTACATTACGAAAGTTATGAAACTACAAACCAAACATTATTTTGCTTGATCGCAAACCATCACAAGCAATTATTTGTTTCATCACCACTGCTATTTCGGACTTTGGACTCTGTCGGAGTTGCATAAGCTCGTAAAATTGACATCCTATACGTAACTTCCACAACAAAAGTGAGCAGTCATCGAACCATAACACATGGAATTGATGAAAGAAGGAAAAAAATATTAGGTTAGCAGGTTTTATCTCCATTGTGTCATCATGCATTGGAGTGCTCATAGCATACATAAATACTGTAGGTTATTGCATCGCTTGTGATGTGGAAAATTAATTATATCGATTGAAAATTGAACTCGGTTCAAAAGTTGCTTGAACGAATGATGGCAAATACTTTATGAATCATCAGATGGAACAGATTAGTAAATCACATTTTGCATTTACTACATGTGATATACTACAAATACTACTGCGACTACTGCTACTACTACTGCTACTATACTACTTCTAATACTACTACTTCTACTACTACTTCTACTACTACTACTTCTACTGCTATTACTACTTCTACTACTACTACTACTACTACTACATGTACTACATTAACTACTACTACTACTTCCAGGGGTGGCGTAGCATCTTCCGAAGGGGGGCACCAACAAAAAAGGGGCACGTTCATGAAAAGAAAGGGGTACCTACAAAGGGAAACCTATCACGCGAAAATACAAAAAAAAATGACATTGGGATATTCACCTTTCATCCACATCGTTATTAGGTGACCCCCCCCCCCCCACACACACACACACACGCATACACACACCACACACACAATGTAACCATGCAGTGCCCCTTTATTTATTTATTTTATTTTTTGCAAAATCTGTCGTTGAGTCATTGAAATAAGGATCTTAAAGCTATTGATGAATTGGGTCATGTCTGGCTGTTACGTAACTCAGTGGCGTGGATCCAGCCAATGAGGGGGTTCTGGCATCATAAGGAGTGGAAGGGGCGTAGGTGGTCTCATTCGTTGAAATGCAAACTAACATTATACCGATTTAGTAGAAATGTGCAGGAGAGTGTCTTATTTTCTCCTCATTTCTCCCCTCTCCCTTTCTTATAAATTCTTCATCATTAAACAAAAATTGAAGGGGGAGGGGGACGTGCTCCTGTAGCTTCGCCACTGACATACTGTAGGTCACTTTAAGCCATTGTCAACAAAATTATCTACGTGCATTATCTGCTGCACATTTAAAGAATTTACTCGATCTTGTATTGTATTACAGTTCCATTTAATTCAATCAAAAATTTCGATCAAAACATGCAGCAAAAAAGCTGACATAAAATCAATATCAAATGATATTTGCAATATAACATAGAACATGAAACTTACTTGTCATTATACAATATTAAATGTCGATTTTGAAATAAAAAATGAAAGCGTTTTAGGACACAAAATATATAATCATGATAAAACCAAAGATTAAATCGAATTTTAAAGGAAAAAAGAAATCCGCTAAAAAGCCGAGCTTTTATTTGTGTGGATTACTCAAAAAAGAAAAGAATAGGAATAAAGAAAAAATACACACATGTACTTGTTCGGAAGTATGAGCATTCATAGGCAAAAGAAAAACACAGTAGAGCAGTGCGTGTAGGAATAGAGGACTATGCTCCAACACCCAACAATCGAGGACTCCGTCATTTTATAAACTGAGTAGTATTTCCATAGGCTGGCGATTAGAAATTTGAACAGGGTGAACAGACGTCAGACGTAATAACTATTCGGGTATTACAAAAGGTTGGTATCATGTTTCTTAGTGTGTTATGAAAAGAATTATTTAGCACAGCGTCAATTCATATAGGAATTCGAAGGGTTTATGTTTTGTGTGATACGCGTAGAAGGCAAAGAAAACTATAAAGCGTCGATCCCACCTTTTTAATCTGTTGGGCACACTTACTATGTTGGCCTCTCTTTGGTTATGTGCGGGAGGTGTGTGCTTAAGTAGTTTATAGTTATTGATTTTTATCTAAATAGTCTATAAAAATTCAAATTTGTCATGATTTAATTGAATTTTTTCCTCTATGTTAGTGCATCCACACAAAAACATATTACTATCAATCTAACTTGGCTGCTGTGAAGAAATAAGATTCTTAGGGGGGAAATGGGGGAAAATATTGTATCAATATAAAGATAGTGAGGACATGGCGTCACAGACTCATGAGTGAGTTTCGAATTCGTCTTGTGATTTTCATTGTTCCATAATTTTACATATTTTTTTCAAAAATTCATAACAAACTTATTAGTTATCCGATATTGCTCTATCTTTTTTTTTTGCTTCTATTGAAAGTAAGTTATTTTTGGCCTTGGCCTTTAAACACGTTTTATATTTGCTTATGTGTGCAGTCGCAATGATTCGCTTGTACATGTGAGTCATTTGAATAATCATTGTTCACATTTGTTAGCTTCGTTTGTGATACAAAGGTAAGAGAAAAATAACAAAAACAAAACCAGAAAAATCGAAATTAGATGAGACGCGCTTTTACAAATCCCTTGGAGAGGGTTTTATACAGTTATCAGAGATTTTAAATTAACAGAAAAATTCGGAAAGGATACAACTGAGCAACACTAAAGTGTTCCATGGAAATAGTTTTACCATAACCAATAATTGTAACCAAAAAAATTAATTTCAATTTGATATTTTACTTCGCTTTCATAATAACACCCAAATTAGCGGCCGGTTAAGATTTCGATTTCCACGGAGTAGAGCTATACATAGGTTATATTCTAGAAGAATAAAACAAATTGAGCTAAAAGAGAAACTAGCGCACAACTAACTAGTTTAAAGTTACGCTTACCCCAACCAAGTTTTTTGTATCATAGTCAAAATAAACACCAGTGACTGTCTATGTCCGTAAATACTAATTGCGATATCATACTTCTCCTCTGGAATACAGGCAGATGTTCCACAAATGGAATCATTATGAATAACTTTCACGAGATGTTGTTTGCTAAGTCATATTCCTTTTCTCTAGAATATAACTTTTCTTCAAAGGTAATCTTCATGCATGTATAACTCTCTCGCTCTTTTCTTTAAAAATGAAAAAGGTGTTTTACAACAGAGTATAATCTTTCACTTTATTTGGGGGTGAGGGGAGTGTTACCTTAGGGCGCTGATGCGATTTTCAAATTCATCTTTTCAATTATGAACCAAATCGTACTTATGAATTGAATGGTGTTAGAATTGCAGGCCAATAAAATAATGAACATCGGTATATAGCCTACGGCATTGATAGATGAGTTTTAACTGAACCAGTGTATTTGCACCGACCCAACAATCTCCATGGTATTTGTGATCAAACAATTCAAATTACCACAGTCATTACTTCGTTACGTAAACCCCTCGGTTAAACGAGGCTCTGTGTATTTTCTTTCCTGTCGCGTTAAAGGGACAATGTCTATTTGCAGCCAACATCAAATTCTGTAGAACTTTGCAGGAATTATGAATATGTCACGTTTGTGACATCTGTGAAATGATAACGTTAGCAGTGTCCTATTAGTAAAATTCGTCGCTGTTTTCACGAAGTGACGGTAGTGAAAAAAAATTGCATTGACTTTGCGTTACGATTTTCCTCACTACCGTCACTTCGTGAAAACAAAGACGAATTATGCAAGGAAACCCGTTTACTTTCTAGACTTCACTGCCCGCCCCCCCCCCCCGAGAACGGACGGACCCCATGCGTGTTACCAAAATGTCCTTTCGTAACAAAAGAAAAGGTCGACCCGTATTGACTTTACACATCGGACTTTTGCTGAAAAGGGGGTGCTGAAAAAGGCTCGTATAACAAAAGAAAAAGGTCGACCCGTATTGACTTTACACACCGGACTTTTGCTGAAAGGGGGGGGGGGGTCGCTTGGAACACGCATATGCGTTCCCTAAATAACACTGAGTGGGGGGCGGGCTTCACTGTCAAATATTATTGAGTGACTGCAAAACTAACTTCTTTTTTTTTTTCTTCTTTGGTAATAACAAATTTCAAAAAGAGCTGTAAAGGTACATGAGCATTTGTACATAAATAAAGTGTAATGGCCAAAATTAAAATGATCGAATCTTTGAGCAGCTCAAAACGTACGACCATTCGGTACAAAGGTCTGAAAATCAGACTATTACTAAAATGATTGCAATCACTAGGGTCGATTTGACAACTAATGCTCGTTATTTTCCCACTAAAAGCGATTTTCAAGCCCTTTCGTTTCGAGGGAAGTTCTAAATTAGTATCATCTTTCAAATGCCGTTGGAATTTAACGTTTTCATTTTGGGGGCCTGCAAATGGGACATAGTACCTTTAAACAGGAGACATGGCAAACTTTGCCCCATTTTGTACCTGCCTACGTAGAATTTTGGGCTTACGAAACAAGTTCATCGTCGCTTCGTGGTTGAGCGCGTCACCTTTTGTGATTCTCTCTTTGACCTTCGCTCGTCAAGCTGCGGGGTGCGTTGATGACCATTGTACAGAGTACGAGAACAGCATTTTTGTTACGGCGTCATTACAGTGTCGTCTGCTGGTTGTAAAACATCCTCTCAATCTTTTGTCGGATATCTGAATTGAAAGGTGAGTGATTTTGTCTGCTGAGATATCGTTCAATTCAATTGAATTAAATACATTAAAGTCGATTTATGGTTATGTGATTGTTTTGTTTTAGTTGTGTGATATGCGATTATTGAATAAATCCTAATGTCAATTAGTGATAATTTGCAAGTGAGTAATTGCTGAGATATTGTTCAATTAAAATTTAAAAACCGGAGTGTTAGAATTGCAGGCCCAAAAAATAATAAACATGAAAAGGAGTATGACTTAATTTAGCTAACAATATTTCGAGGAAGTTATTCATAATGATTCCACTTGTGTGAACATCTGCCTGTTTTTCAAATTAGAATTCCTTACTAAGTCCCTTTAAACATCTCACACCACACCAATGATACGAAAGCTCAGAACTGTTTCCAGCTAGCTACAACTGAAGGTCTTTCGTAAAGATCGTAGGGACGGTTACAGAGGTTTTTTGATAGCCCTCAAGAAGGATTTCATTTTAAAAAAATGAGCACTTGGCTAGTCCTGAATGTGAGGCAGATAATTCGTTAAAGGTAAAGACCAGTTATGGTCATGCAATTGCATTGTGAAAGAAACGTTGTGGAATCGATCAGAAAAGGTTGATCATCTAGCATCTAGCATCTACAAGGTTCTGGAATCATCAAAATGATAAGAAATTTGGCCCATTCTTCGTAAAGTCACAAGCACTATACACAGAAAGATGTATATGGGACTACCCTATATCTCTCACAGACCATGAGAGAAACAAATTTACCAAATATATGAACTAGTAGGCGGTTTCCCGGCAAATTTTTTATCATCATGTATTAGTCAAAACATATTCTTTCACATGATTGGTAATGAGAGCTTCCATTTCATTTTTTGAAATTGGGGCGTTTCCAATACTGGTCTTTACCTTTAAACTCCCTCTTAGTGGAAGGAAAGCCCTCACCATTGGAGCACTTTACCAGCCTCCATCTATAGCTCCCCCACAGTACATTGATTAGCTTTGTAATTTCTCTTTCCAGGCTTTTATTTCTACTTTGGGCAGAATCCGTAGAATTACCGAATTCTTTTTAGATTTTTGTGTAAATTCGGTTTATAAAAGATATATGGACTGCTTTAATATTCGAGGCATGGCTGTTTCTATACTGGCTCTCGGGGACGTGGCATCCGCCCGCCGCTGCCTGCATCTGGGTCATGGCAGGATTTAACGTCTCTTTGACGCTTTAAAAACCGCTATGCCTCTCAAAGCGGTCAATATATCTATATTATATGCTACATGTATTACGATTATAAGAGTATCATCAATGTTATTCTAACCTCTGTGGTATTTCGTTTTTGTAGTTAGTTGCCGAGGTCGAGAAAGTCGCAGCCAGTCACGATGTCGAAAACGAGTGATCCCGTCTATATCTTCCTGGCCTTCTTCGTCCTGTTAGATTTCATCGGCGTCGTCGTCGTCAATACGCTCGCGTCCTTACCTAGTGACCCTACAGGTGAGTTGAGGGCAAATGATTTTTATCTATAGAGGGGCTGTTCCAGTTTGGATGAGGGATAGTTCCTTCGCGTTTTCCTCGCAAACACAACAAAGTCATCCAATTTTTAATTTCCTGCGAGCTTAAAATCGTCGATTTTTGTTCCTTTTTTTATTTTGTTCCCTTTTTATTTTTCTCCTATTTCTCTTTAATTTTGTTCTCCTTTTTTCTTGTTTCCTTCTTCTTCCTTTTATATATATATATATATATATAAAATTTACTTCCGGAGAGATCATAGGCAAAAGAAGTTAGAAATGTGATTGGAAACTGGAAATTCATGACCATATGATGACTATTATAAAATAATGTCAGTGTCGCTAGGTGACTGCTTTATCAATTGATATGGTTACAATTAAGCGCTAAATTAATCCTCTTTGTTTCAGGTTTCTTCGTTATTTGAAGAAGAGTAAATCCTAAACCCAAATATGATAACGCATAAATCAATATAAGAAGTAATACTGAACGAGAAGGCAGAGATAGCGGTTTTTGTATTTGCTTATACATCTACCTCGCCCGGTCGCTATAAAAATTTCGCCGCCCGGCCGGCCTTCCTCGGTATCAATTATGTTTACTTGTCATATAGTCACTGCATTGCGATCTCGAAGGCAGTCTCGATGGCTTATAAAGATTAAAGGGCATACATACCATGGTTAAACAAACGTTACGTAATTATTTAATTAATTAAACACAGTACACCCTTTTTAAGCCATGATGGGGACTGCCTTCAAGATCGCAATGCAGTGACGTCATCAAGTGAGAAGAATGAATTTGTATATATTGCATGTATACATGCAAAGGCGGCGGAGCGACTTTCAAAGTGGGAGGGGGGCACCAACAAAAAGGGCACTTTCTGGAAGAAAAAATGGCACCTTCAAAGAGAAATCTCAAAGCGAAAATATACAATTTGTTAGACATTGGTTTAAGGTTCAAGGTTCAAGGTTCATTTTATTTCTTTCTTTCACAACATTTTTACATATAATAATAGAACAAAAAACAGCATAAGAAAAAAACAATTTAAGTGCAATTTTAAGTCGATATATAATCCAAATGAAAGAAAGTGGAGACCTTAGAAAAGCTGGGCTTGTAAGAGCAAGGTCCCCATATAACATAATCCATTAATGTTTCACTTTTAAAAATGTTTCAAAGTTATCAAAAACTACACATGATTAAATATGGGGGAAATATTTACAAAAGGGATAGCTTGAAATGTGAAAAGGAGAGGATGAAAATATATACAAAGGGATCAAGAGGAAAAAAGCAAACTGGAACGAGAAAAACAACAAAACAGAGAAAAAAAAAAAAAAAAAAAAAAGAAAGAAGAAAGTTATATGTATATAGGGGAAAATGGTATTAGGTGTAAAGAAAAAGAAAAAAATAGAAGAGAGGAGGGGGGGGCTGAGAGAATGTGAAATGCTGACATTTATATTGAATAATCAAACATAACAAAAACAAAAAGATAATGCACGTTATCAATAACAATTGATAAATTATTTCCTAATATCATTTCTGGTGATATAATTTTTACGTTAATTGTCGACATAGTTTATACCCCTATATTGTGATTACATTATCAGGGATGATTTCAATACTTGTTTCTTTTTATACATCAAATTACATAATTGCTTAAGCATCATACTTTGCAGTTTGTTGGGATTATCTTAAAAATTCATATGCGAGCGCGCAAAGCAAGCGCGAAAATTTGTGAGGTCGCAGTGCGAAAAATTACATCTTATAAAGAGGACAAACCCAAGGGGTTATAAGCACATTCTCATAATGGAAGACTGAAAAGACCTTTGATAAGTTTTGGGGAAATTGCTCTTAGTCGCTTGAAATTAGGGGCACGTTTAATGATGAGAGAAAAGGAGACACTTATCGAAAGGGTTAAGACACTTATAAGAAAAGAAAAGGAGCACGTGTCAAAGTGCAAAGGCTAATTATCAAAGGTGAAAATGGGGCACTTAATTCTTACACCTAAAAAAGAGGCACGCACCAGGGATGAAAAAGGATTTTATGAGAATGGGAAATGGGCATTTGTCGACGGAAAAGAGGCACCCATCAGATTTTGATAGGGTAATTTATAAGAAGTGAAAGGGGGCATTCATGAAAAGGGGCACTGACCATACATGGAAAGAGGCACTTATGAGAATGAAAAAGGGCACTAATGATAAAGGGAAATGTGCATTTGTTGAAAGGAAAGGGCACCGATCAGATTTTAATAGGGGCATTTAACGGAGGTGAAAGGGGGCTTTTATGAAAAGGGGGGAGTGGCTCTTAACGGGGCACTTAGGAAAGATGAAAAGGGGTAACTATGAGAAGGGGAAATATGAGAAGGGGAAGGGGCACTTATAAGAAGGAAAAGGAGCATTTATAGGAAGGAAAAGGGGGACGTGTAAAAATAAAAAGGGGCACATATGAGAATGAAAAGGAACTATTTTTATAGATGAAAAGGTGCATTTATTAGAAGGAAAAGGGGCTCTTTTTAGATGGGGGCACTTATCATAAGGAAAAGGGGAACTTATTAAAAAGTAAAGGGGGCACATGTGAAAATATAAGGTGCGCTTATCCAAGTTAAAAAGGGGTAGTTATTAAAAGGGAAGGGCACTTTTACAAAGGAAACAGGAAAAGGGGCACCTATCATATTTTGAATAGGGCGCTGAAGGGGGCGGTTATCAAAAGTGAAAGGGAGCGGTTCTCGTACCTGAAAAGGGGACCTTACTAGAGATTTTAAAAAGGCACTTATGAGAATGGAAAATGAACACTTATTGCAAAGAAAATTGGAACTTGTCAAAGGAAAAGGGGTACGTGTCAAAATAAAAGGGGCGCTTATCAGAAGTGGAAAGGGGAAGGGGCACTTTTAAAAATTAATAGGGTACTTGTCAAAGTCGAAGGGGCAATTTTCCTATGTAAAAAGGGGCACTTCTTACAGAAGGTTAAAGGGGCGCCGGGGAATAAGCTTACACCAATAGGGGGTCTACACCGGAAAACTGTGGGCCATAATGGCTTATCTAAGAAAAACTATCGCTTGGGAACCTCCATGCAGTACCAAGACCACTTCTCTGATTTCATGAAGGTTCCACATCGGGGAAAGAAGGACTATCATTTCGGCGTCGAACGCATAACTTCATTTTCCAATCCCACTAATCCCAATACGCACTGTCGCATCATTTAAGAGACATTTTAAAAAACTCATTTTTTTTCTTTGTAATTGTAATTTTTTTAGAGTGTAATGCACTTGGAGAGTATATAACTATTATGTTTGTATTTTAAAATGTAAAACGCCTTGAGCATGTTCATGTAAAGGCGCTAAATAAATACCAATATGTATGTATGTATGTATGTCTTTTCTCGATCCTTACAGGTTGGTTCCGGAATTCGACGGGGGACATCTCGGACAAGTACTATGTCTCTATCACCCCAGCTGGCTGGGCCTTTAGCATCTGGGGTCTCATCTACATCTGGCAAGCAATCTGGATCATCTACGTCATCATCAACATCTTCAGGACCAACAAGTTTGGCAAGGTGAGTGGGTAATCTCAACACCATTATACATGATATCAAATTAATTAATTGAAATAAAAATCATCCGGAATGTTATCTGTGTCTCGAAGGCCAGTTTGGCAAGATTAAATGTTTAACTCAAAGACACACAAAAATGTGACATAAGCATGGTTATATTAGAAAAGTAGTGAACCGCCCCCCCCCCCCATCCTTTCCTCCTATTTCGTTGGTACTCAGATAATAACTATGACTTACAATAGCGTAGTCGTGATCTGAGATTTAGTCAGTTCCTCATCTCCTCATCCACCATAGCCTATGTCACTGGCGTACTGATGGGGGGGGGGCAACACATATTCAAACGTGGATTATTTCTAATTCGATACCAGTGATTTACAAATGTTGCCGAAATGGCATGATTTTTACCTGAGCTTCCGAGGGCTCTGCCCTCTGGACCCCACCAAGGGCCCTAAGCCGGGCCCCTGGATGCTCATTTGATCGTTATTTAATGCCTAAAACTCCTGGGCTTCATGGGGCTCCGCTTCTTTAACCCCTTCTTGACCCCCGCCGGGGCTTTGCCCCTGGACCCCACGCGAATTTACGCTCCACTTGCTTCACTCGCTTTGCTCTACCTGATTCTAAATACTGTACAAAATGGTGATAATTATATAATATTTTTTATTTTTTTAAATTTTGGTCCATGTCTAATGAAAATGAGGTTTCGGTGTCATCTTTCTATTTGGGCTGCCTTTCTAGGCTATTTCTAGGTTTTGAATGGTCGACTTTAATTTGCGAAATACGTCAGTTCCTACACTATAAAAGCTCCATTGTTCTTCTTTTTTTAAACATTAAAATGTAACTTAAACACATTGGGGAAATATATAGGGCTTGAAAATGTGAATGTTGTACTTCCTTCGTTAATAAATTTGTTTATTTCGCTGAATAAAGATGATACATATTCGTCGCTGTTTTCACGAAGTGACGGTAGTGAACAAAAATTGCATTCACTTTGCGTTATGATTTTCCTCACTACCGTCACTTCGTGAACCGACAAATCCCTTGTCTTGTCTTTACAGGTGTACCTGAACCCCTCCATCGTCCTCCCTGCCTTCCTGGCTACCTACGCCATCAACCTCGTACTCAACATCGCTTGGTTATTCACCTGGGACAGACAGTACCTCCCAGTCTCTTTCGCTGTCCTCGCCCTGATTGCATTCACCCTCTATGTATGTGTCACCATCAACCTCTGGGCAGTTAATAAGCATATAGAACAGCTGTGCGAACATCACAGGTTAGTTTGGGCTACCCTTTTCTACCCCCCCCCCCCCCCCTTTCCCCCTTCCTGCTTTTTGTCTGGGGGAGTCTTTTCTTGGGCAAGTTCAAGATACACTGATTACCCGGATTGGTTACAATTATTACAAGTTTCGTTTTCGCTATTGGGAGGGAATGATGAATAAGCAAATTCAAGGTATATTGATTATAATAGACCAGTTCACGGTTAGCACATTACTGCAATGACCCCGAATATCCATAGATCTTCAAAACATAAAGAGGTCCCACTTTGAACATTTTTAAATATTCACTCCTACAACGATGGAGGTGCTATATAAATAGCCTGTGTTTCCCCTTTCTAAAGAATACTTCCACCTGTGTATCATGGAGTGCACTGCTTGTTGTGCATTAATGAATAATGATTACATAACTTTCATGAGCACGTATCCAGTATTTCGTCTCCGTTTATTTCAACATTTGCTTGTATCTGCTCATGCTCAGACTGCAACCGTGAACTGGCATATTATTACAGCTTTTAATCGGCCTTTTGTTGAAGGGGGCTTCGTATATGGGCAAGTTCAAGATACAATGATTATAAGCATTAAATACTTTAACTTTACCTGATGATCAGACAAATAGGTGACACTTCACATGTTCATTGATCTTTGACTTACTCGTAAGACTATAGCATGAAATCATTATCGGAACCCGACTGCGAAAGATTTCGGTAAATCATTGAAGCGATTTAAAACCTGCTCATGATGGAAGATTTTAATTTATCATTTGAAATTCTGTTAGCACCATTCTGTTGGATAAATCTCGCCACTGAATGCGATTAACAGCTAAGCTATATTCTACCTAAATGACCTTACTGAATGATCTTACCGAATGGCCATACTGAATGACCTTAACGAATGATCCTTTCATCCAATCGTTCCTCCAGGGTTGATTTATGGCTGAACAGCCTTTTCATCACAAATGGTATCCTCGTCTACGCGACCTGGACCACCATCGCCACTCTCCTCAACTTCAGCTCGGTCTTAACCTACTTCGCCGACGTCGAAGAAAGGACCGCCTCCCTCATCTGTCTCTCCATTCTCACTGCCGAGCTCGTCCTCTACTTCGTCGTCGATATGTACCTCCTCGAGCGCCACCTACGCTCGGCCTTCATGGTATACCCCGTCGTGATCTGGGCCTCGACGGCCGTACTCGTCAACAACTGGGACCCGGACAGTAGCACGTCTATCTTCACCGCGGTGATCGTCGCCCTGGCGTGTGCTGCTTTCGTAGGCAAGCAGATCAAAGGTGTCTGGTACTGTTGTTGTCGCAAGGATCAAACCACCGTAGCTAACAGTGACAAAATGGCGCTGCAAGATGTTGCCTGAGTGATCGACCGTCATTTCGGGATTTCGAAGCAATTGGCTGATTCACTTGCTTTTGAACGTAGACTGTGACTAATTTTTGAACAAGCTCATTGTGAGATATGCTTTCATTTCATATTTTGTTGGTCATTACTCATGAATGTAAATGTCTATAAAAAAACTATAATTTGAAGTTGCCAATTTCACCTCATATTTATCAGCAATAGGCCAAAGCAATAATGACCGATCAAGCTTGAACATGCAATGTACTGTGAGAATTATAGGCAGTGCTTTCATTAGAATTTGTTTTCAGAATAGACCAAATTATATTTTTCAGGAATATGGATGTATACATTAAATGAAAAAAATCCCGAGCCGCAGGGGCATCGCTATTGAGCCCCCCTCCCCCCTCAAATTATTTTGTTGGAAATCTTGACGGCCAGCTAGGTCGGGATATTGTAAAACTATGTTTACATATGCTTATATTTTTGTTGTTGATCTTCGTTATTGATATATGATTTATTTGTAAAGATTTTTGTTTACTAGTAATGTTAGAAAAATCTAGACTCATGAGTGTGTCAGCAAATTTGGTCCTACTTCCCCAAAAGGGTGCCCCCCTCCCCCCATTCGAAATGGTCGTGAGAACCCCGCCCCATGCATGCATCACTTGAAATTTAGACGGCAAATATCGCATTCGCTGTGAATTAATTTTCAAGGCAATAAGTTCACCTTGTATATACTTCGGTCTTGTATCAGCAACTCAAATCATTGTAAGTAGTTTGTAAGTAGTTATTATAGCATGTTTATCATCAGATTATACCTATCTTTGAAGAAAAGAAAAGAAAAGAATAGAGAATCTATATCACTTCTACGTATTAGGTGTTTTGTTTATGTATTTTACTAGTAAAACTCAATTCAACCTTATTTGAGTACTCATTGTTTTTTTACTTTATGTATTTTCTGAGAAGAGCGAGAGTAATCTTCATAGCGTAGGAATGTATTCGCAGATATAAAGAGCACAATTGTGTGAAACAAGGATGTGAAGATATTAGCTGTACAAGGGCAGATAAATGTTATTCGTTTACAACTTTAAAACGTATCGAGACGAATGCTGTATACATATTCATGAAGTAAAGTAATCATTATTCATTTATGCACCGGTTGCGACATGTGAAGGTATTTCTTATCAAGAGGGCGAACAAAAAGTATCAATAGGGACTTTTAGATTTGCACAACGGAGAACGTGGACTGCCCTTTTAAGGCAATGTGACGTCCTTTTAAGGCATTGGCAGTGACGTCACATTGCCTTAAAAGGGCAGTCCACGTTCTCCGTCGTGCAAATCTAACGTTGCATCTCCCATCACTTCAGTACTGATTCTATAGTATAAAAAAGCACAAAGTGGCAGGAATCCCATGTTAAAACATCAACGAGTAGCCTATTGTTGGGGTTATTTGCACATAAGCGATCTCCGAACTGGTCTAAAGTATATCGCATCTGAATTCAAATCTGTTCCGGATGAACATTTCTGCGTCTAATTGACAACTTCGTTGCATTTTAGAATAGTCACTGGCACTGCCAAAAGTGTTTTGAGGTGCTTTGTGAATACCTGTTGTTTGCCATCCTGTACATAATACCACCACCTGTGTATCATAGAATGTACCGTCGGTTCATTTATGAACAATGTTACATAACTTTCATGAACAATAGGCCATTTTCGTAATGTAACCAAATTTGCATATGCCTCCGTGAAGCTCCTCACATGCATATTCACCTGTTCTACACATTTTTACATAATAGCAGTGAAGGGATGTTCCTTTGTCTACCACAGCAATTGTTGAGGGTAGAATGAGGAACTGTATGTTTTGTCCTCTTTCTTTGTCCGTCATATTCATAGTGAATGCTGGACAAATAGGCCATTTTTGTAATGTAATCAAATTTGCATATGCCTTTGTGAAGCCCCTCATCAATACACATTATTTTATTCACCTGCTACGAGTATCTCAATAGTCAGAATCCAAACTGCTTACATTAATTGTTGCTAAATAGGACACATATTAAGGCTTGTCTTACGTATCAACACTTAATATACATGTATACAATTTGCATTCTGACTGTTGAAATACAGTTATTCGTAAACAGGTGAATTAACTAATTCGTATCGAGACACTCCACAAAGGCATATGCACATATGGATACATTACGAAAATGGCTTATTTGTTCAGCATTCGTCTCGATTTCAAAGTTCTGTACAAATTACCTTTGTCTGCCAATGTCGAATCGTATCTCCGAAGTTTTCGCATGGCTACAAAAGAAAATATAGGCATACAAGAATTGTATATCATATAGTGGGGTTTTCTGTATATATGTTAATTTGAGATTACATAATAATAATAATAATAATAATAATTGATTCTTATTGAGCGCTACTACAGACAAACTGATCAGAGCGCTATACAACAGAAAAGAGACATACAAATCATAACAATTAAACAAGGAACAGTAATTAAGATATTATGAACAAAAAGAAAATTTAGCTACTCAAAATGTACATTATGGATTCAAGATGGAAAGAGTTGGGTTTTAAGTTTCTTTTTGAAAGTGTCTTCTGTACTACATAGGCGGAGGTGTTGTGGTAGAGTGTTCCAGGTGGATGGTCCAGCATAAGAGAATGAGCGTTCGGCTGCCTTGGTGTTGGTGCGTGGGATCAGTAATAGTGTCTGATCGTTCCGTGAACGCAGATGGTATCTGGAAACTGGAGGAGTAGTAAGCATGATAGACAGATAGTGTGGAGCAGAATGCATTAAGCACTTGTACACTAAAAGTGCTAGTTTGAATTCAATTCGCTGTTTGATGGGAAGCCAGTGTAGTTGCTTCAACAGAGGAGCACTTGGCTCTCTTTTCTTTGCACCAAGCACCAGACGAGCCGCTCGATTTTGAATTTTTTGAAGTCTTTTTAAATCCCCGGCATTCACATTTGCCAGAAGGGAATTACCGTAATCAAGCCTGCTCAAAACTAGAGAACGTACTGCATGACTACAAGCTTCACCTGTAAGGTACTTTCTCACATGACATATGTTTCTCATATGGAAATTGGCCACCTGGCACACTCTACGAACATGTTCCGACATTGACAAAGTCTGGTCAAAATAAACACCAAGATTTTTAACAGTTGTTGATGGATCAACAGTGGCGTTTCCAATCTGCAGGCTCAGATCACCTGAAGGGCGGAGTCTGCTGGATGACAGAATGATGATTTCCGATTTGTCTTCATTAAGTTTCAGCATATTGCTTGTCATCCATCGACTCAACTCGCCTATACATGTTTCCAACCTATTGCAGGCTTCATCGAGACTAGCTTGATTGCGTGGATCAAAACTACAATAAATCTGAGTATCATCTGCGTAAAGATGATACTGGAGATCATGGCGTTTGATGATATCTCCAACAGGTCGGATGTACATCGTGAAAAGCTGAGGCCCAAGTACTGAGCCTTGCGGAACGCCGTATCTAGTGTAATGAGTTTCAGAATATTTCCCCTTCACAGAGACACGTGAGGAACGTCCAGTGAGATACGATGTAAACCATTGAAGGGCTGTCTCCTTTATGCCATACTCAGTCTGAAGTCTTGACAGCAGAATAGAATGATCTATGGTGTCAAAGGCAGCGCTCAGATCTAGTAGCACAAGTAGTACTCCCCTCTTCTGGTCAATCTGTTGAAGAATGTCCTGCTTTACACGAAGCAGGGCAGTTTCCGTGCTGTGGGAAGGCTTGTATGCTGACTGGAATTGCTCACGAAGATCATGATCACCAAGATACGACGAAAGTCTGGTAGACACTGCAAGCTCAAGTACTTTGGACATGAAGGCGATATTCGATACCGGACGATAGTTCTTCATGACCTCGTGGTCAAGCGATGACTTCTTCAGCACAGGGAAGATGATAGCCTCCTTCAACTTATCTGGAAATACACCGGAAGTGATGGACGAATTCACAATCTTGCTCATGATAGGTACAAATATTTCGACGCAGTCTTTCAGAAGCCATGTAGGCAGTGGGTCGAGATTACAGGATTTTGTAGCAGCTCGTCGGACAATCTTCTTGATCTCGTTATCGCTCACAGGGTCAAACACAGTTAGTGATGGCCCACCTTCCAGAGGAGGAGCGGTGACCAGGGGCAGAACACTTACTGGTGTTGTGGAATCGAGAGATTGTCTAACATAAGAACAGGTTCTTAGAGCTTTCAATTTTCTTCTTAAGGATTTGCTTTGTACATAAATAAACTCTGCCAATTACCTTCATCAGGAAGTTCTTGAAGAATAAACCTACTCAGCTCATCCATGTGATTAAATGTGATGTTATTCAGACTTGTAATCTAATAGCCATGCAGTTATCAAAACATCCCTCTTCTCATCTTGTCAAACGTGTGATTTGTGAGACAGTCTAGAATCTAAATAATGCGAGCGAGCGAAGCGAGTGATGAAGAAATACACTTTTCTCTTTAAAATGCTATTTCCTCATGAAGTTAATAGTTAAGCGGTTGGAGATAATATGTGGCGTTTCACAAAATAGATGTGATTTCGAAATTATTTTTTAAGTAACTAAATTTCTCTCGCGGCACAGCCTTGCCGATGGTAATCGTCACGCTTCACTGCATCACTGTAGAGAGGATACTGATGAGCCAAACTCTGATGTGGTAGGGGATCATAGCGACCATCATCATATTCAGCAGCTGTCATCGTATGTTGCTAATCACCATTCATTTCCCTGTTGAGTGGATATGTCGTTCTGGGAATCGAAGTTGCTCTGGGAAATGATGGTCAAAGGCATGGCAAAGACCAACCGATACCTCGTGATGACGAGGCTGACAGTTACCTCGTACGTGGCTGATGAGATTCCTTGCAAACATCCTCACACCCTCGTCGTTTGAAAGGGCACCATCATATCCAATATATGGTCCTTGGAGTTGATGTTTGCGTTGTCTTTGTAGAGCCATCCATGCTTTGCCTTGAGACCATACAGGCGATTGTTGGTCTCTTGTAGTTTCAAATCTACTGTAGATTCCTCATTCTTATATACAGTGGAACTGAAAGTTATAATTTGTACTGATGGACAGGATCTAAGGAGGTGTAATCCAGTAAATTCAATCTTTGTAGCTATCACATCGGGTTGGTTGCCTCTTAGATTATTTGTCCCGACATGAATAATGACTTCTGTTACTGGTTAATCTTTGGCAATTGTGTTGCAATGTCACATGACTTCAGCTGTCGCTCCAGGGAGTGTCTAACAGGAGATTTGTTTGGAGCGAGACAGTTTTAAGGGGTTTATTCTCCGAAGCATTGAGTCTCTGATTAACAATACTTCATTCTTTTGTTTGTTTTTATTTAAGAGCTTACTCTGTTTATTCCTATAGTCTTGAAATTGATGGGTCAGTGTTTTTGTGGTTTTGTTCGGATTTTAGATAATTTCCATTTGTTCCCATTTGTAGATTTTCAATTTGTTTTCTAAGGCACATATCGTTGTTTCTCTTTTGTTGGTGACTACGGGGTCACTCACCTTTCGTTCCCGTGGAGTAGGGTCAGTGTTTGTCCTTTTCTCTTTCCTTTAGCATTCATTAGAGGAGCTCTTCTCATTCTGCATTTCCCGCTTGATTGTGTTCTCACTACTCCTCGATTCCGGAGTTGGATTAACTTGAGCACTCTTATTAATGTCGATTAAGGATAGCTGGCATTCATAAGCATCTAATCACTATAAATGCCACGCATTGTTCACACAGGGGTTTATCATAATCGCTCTCTGTAGGCGACCACATCAAAAGCATGGAGGGCTGTCGTGAACGTCAATCATTATCGGACATTCTATTGTTTGCGGTTTATTCATGCATTTGGTCAAACTGTCATGTTGTTCAACAAGGCTGTCTTCCTTTTCGTTTCCAATGTTAACATCAGATATTAAGTTTTCATTGATACCGATTGTAAGGGCAAAGTGTTTGCAGAATTGTTTCTCTAAATTTGGGAGAATGCAGCACGATTCACATTTAATGAGTTAGGTTCATTGGTGTCCCTTCCTTACCTATTGATAGCTTGATTTTGTAATATATTTGGGCAATTTATATTTAAAGCTCGGATTTCCTGGTATATCCTTACATGTGTTGCTTTAGCCATGTTTCATGGTCTACGTACATAGTTCAAGTAGAAAAGAGAAGACATGTTCAAATAACATTCTCACCATCGGTTGTTTCATTCATTAAATTTTTAGGCATAACTGTTGATAACGAACTTTCGTGGAAATACCATAAAGATAATACAAGTAAGATCATTTCGCGAAATATTGGCATAATAAATAAACTTAAATTTCATTTTCCGACATCATCCCTACTCATGCTTTATTCATCTTTAATTTTACCATATCTGAATTATGGGATACTTACTTGGGGCAACACGCAGCAAACTCTACTAAATAGACTGTTATTATTACAAAAGAAGTATCTCCGTATTATTTACCATTCTGCTCCACTCTCACACACAGACCCGTTATTTGTTAATGGCAGACTATTAAAAACAAATGACCTGTATCTACTTCACTTAGGACAATTTATGTATAACTATTCAAAAAAGACCCTTCCACATGTAAATAGTCCATCCCTAAATTCTTTCAAGAAAAATCTAAAAACATTTTTGCTCAAAGCTTATAGTAATATACAAAAATAATCTGATAACAGTTGGTAATCATCTTAATTTTTCATTTAGGTCTTCATCATCTGCTCGATTAATTTAATATTTATTTGGTCTTATGATCTTACCTTCCCCAAATTAACATTATAACTACCTTTTTTTCGGTCATGATTTGTCCTGCTTCTTCTTCCTTCTTCCCCCTTTTCCATTTTCCTTCTTATCTGTTTTACTTCTCCTTGTTCGTTTCGTGTTTGTAAATTGTATGTTGTTTTGAAATATTGTCTTGTGTTTTCTAAATCTTCGTAGGCAAAATTTGAAACATTTATATTTATATTTTGTTCTGGGGGATCCACAAACTACAAGCACTGATTTTTAGTGGACCCCCCACCCCCCCCCCCCCCAATTTCCTCAGAAATTAAGAATTTCTTGTAATAATTTTATTTTGTGCAAAGTTTATTTGTATAGTAAAAAATGAATTATGTATGAAATAAAAAGTAATACCTTTGTTTACCTTTCTGTTGAATATGAATATGAATATGAGTTTCATCGGCCTATCTCGGTTTCAATGACGTCAATATCCCACATATGTCGTTTCAATCATTACACATGTGGGACTATTTGGTGATATCCAATCATTCGAACGGAGTGTAATCACAATACATCAGCTCAAACACAAAACAATTTTCCGGAATCAATTTCTCTCCAATCGAGTAAAAATGTCCAGTTAATTTCAAGACCAATATATTGATATCTCTCTGGCGATGATAAATTCACAAAATGTGTCCTCTTGTGAATAATTTCCTTTCATAAAAAGACGTTAATGTACCCTTTATGTACCCTTTACAGCTAATTTTATGTATGTTATTGCCAAAGAAAAGAAAGAAGTCATTCAGTCACTCACTAGTGTCTGACAGTGAAGTCTAGAAAGTAAACGGATCTCCTTGCATAATTTGAATACAAGGACACTGCTAACGTTTGAATAGGGACTTTTAGATTTGCCGAACGACAACGTGGATTGCTACGATCGACGTCCTGTTAATGCACTGCCTTGAATGAACGTCCCACGTATCAGTCCACGCAAATCTAAAAGTCCCTAATTTCACAGATAGGACATACGTGACATGTTCATTATGCACAGTTCTACATAATTTGATGTTGGCTGCAAATGGGAAATAGTTTAATTTTAAGATATAAAGATTTTAAGAAAGCTTCTCTATAGTTTTCATTGTGTTCTTAGGGCGTCGATCCTACCCTTTAAATCCGTTGGGCACACTACTATTTTGGCCTATTGTTGGTTATGTGCGTATATAAGGGCAAGTGTATGCTTAAGTGACGTTCACAATTAAACACGTTTTACATTTGCCTATGTGTGCAGTTGCAATGATTCGCTTGTACACGTTAGCCCTTTGAATCATCATTTTCCATCTTGTTTGTGATTCAAAAGTTATAAAAGGGGGGAGGTGGTGTAACTAGATGAGACGCGCTTTTACATATCCTTGGAGTGGGTATGATACAGTAATCAGATTTTGTACCAGGCGCGTACACAGGGGGAGGGGGTTTGGGGGTTTGGGGGTTAAACCCCCCCCCCCTTCATTTTTTTCATGTGTATGTTTTTTTGAGAACCCCCCCTTATGAATTTTGATTTTTTTTTTTTGATTTTTTTGATTTGTTTTGTTTTGTTGTTTTTTTCTCTTTTTTTCTTCAGCAGCTGGCTGAGTCGCTGCGAAATTTTTGGCCCGATTTCAAAATGTTAAATATACATTTTTTTTAAATTTCGATTTGATATTTTACTTCGCTTGCATAATACCCAAATAAGCGGTTTACACTAATAGCTTTCCACGGAGTAAGAGCTACAAAGGTTTTATTCTAGAAGAATAAAAAAATGCAGTAAAAGAGAAACTAGTACACAACTATAGCTTAAGGTTGGTAGATTACGATTACCCCAACCAAATCTAGTTTTCTGTATCATAGTCATAGTACACAAATGTCCCCTTATATTGGTTGCGATATCTTTCTTCACCTCTGGAATGCAGGTAGATGTTCTACTAATGAAATCATTATGAATAATTTTCATGAAATGTCGTGCCATGTCAAACTCTTCTTCTCTGAAATACAGATGTTCTTCAAGTGAAATATCCATGCATATATATCAAATTCTCTTGTTCTTTTTATGAAAAAACAAAAATGTGTTCAAAATATATCTGTCGTGTTTAGCAACAATATAAGGTCCTATGATCTTTCACTTTTTGTGTGATGACCTTAGGGCGCTGGTGCGATGTTTAAAAGGTTATCCTTGAATTGTGTTAGAAGCCAATAATTCTTCATCGGTATATAGTACACGGACTCAACAATCTCCATGGTTTTCGTGATCAAACAGTTTAAATTACCATACTCGGGACTTCGTTACACTCTAAAAAAATGTTGGGGAAAAAAATTGAACAATTTTTACCCAACTATTTTACCCAATTATTTTCCCAGTGTTAGATAAAAAGAAAATACCCAAATTTTAACCGACAAAAATGTACCAAATTAGAAATTCACCCAATTCTCACCATTATGTCTAGCATATTGTACAGACACTAGTTGGGCAAATTATAGCATGTGAGTGACGAGCAAACTTTGCCCCATTTCGTAGTCCTTCCTACGTATTATACAGTGTGAGTCAAAAAAAAGTTTACACCTAGAAAATTGCTAATTATTCAAAAAAATCATCGATGGACATTAAACTGTTATATGTCTTATGAAAGAGTGTTTTATCCCAAATCATTTGGTACCATTTTTGTGTGGTATGTGTTCACGCATGGATGAACAGGAGACATTGTTTGCGAGAGTGCAAAAATCGAATTGCGCGAAAGTTGCCTATGTGATGTTTGAATAAAACAATTGGGATTTGGGTATTAATTCGGTCTTTGCAGATCCAAATAACACCCCTAACAAAATTAATCATGCCACACATATCAAATATCGAATATCAAATATCAACGAACATTTTTTCGCGTGTGTGTGTGTGACTTTGCTTTTTGCAAAAAACATGTGCAATGCATTTCATTTGATAAGTTCCATCCATTCTCTCACTCCGCTAATCCCAACATAATACATACTGAAGGCATCACTTTGGCGCAAGTCGATTTTTGCACTTTCGCAAACAATGCCACCTGTTCATCCAAGCGTGAACACATACTACACAAAAATGGTACCAAATGATTTGGGATAAAACACTCTTTCATAAGATGTATAATAATTTACTGTTCATAGATGATTTTTAAAACAATTAGCAATTTTCTAGGTGTAAACTTTTTTTTGACTCACACTGTATAGGTTTTGGGGTTACGAAACAAGTTCCATTGTCGGTTGCATAAAAAACCAATGTTGTTTCGTGGTTGAGCGGGTCGCCCTTTGTGAGATCTGTCTTTTAGACCTTCGTCAATTAAGCTGTTGCGCGTTTACTTTCTTGTCCATTGTTCGTAGTAGTGGTAGGGTATAAAGACAGCAACATTTTTGTGACGGCATCATTACAGTGTCGTGTAGCTGCTGGTTCGTAAAGCATCAATATACTGCATAATAAGGCACTCCTCTCAAACTCTTGTCGTACGTGTCGGAATAGAAAGGTAAGTGAGGTGGCTGGTAAGATAAAGTATATCAATTAAATTGGTGTTATGCTTACACACTAAAGTCGAGTTATTTTTAAGTGATTGTTTTGTTTTAGTTGTGTGATTGAATACATCGCAATGTCAATTAGTGATATGTGTACACAAAATAATATATAGTGAAAATATTTCCTCTTGTGTGTGTATGTGGGTGTGGATGTGTATAACCGTATCATAATAATTATGTGTATGTATATAATAAGTAATAATAATATTAATCATCCCCTTAACGTCTTCCTCTTCTCCTCCTTCTTTTTCATTTTCTTTTTCTTCTTTTTCTCTATATATCTTCTCAATCTCTTCATTTTTTAAAAACATTTTTACGTCATATAATTACTGTAATAAGTTTCTGCTAACATATATTACGATTATAAGAGTATCGTCTTTGTCTATGAAATATAAGTTTTTCTAACCTCTGTGATAATTCATTTTATTCATTCAGTAGTTCATTGCCGAGCAGGAGAAAGTCGCAAACAGTCACGATGTCGAAAACGAGTGATCCCGTCTATATCTTCCTGGCTTTCTTCGTCCTGATTGAGTTCATCGGCGTCGTTATCGTCAACACCATCGGGTCCTTACCTGTTGACCCAGGTGAGTTGAGGCCTTGAGGGCAAATGGTTTTACCTAGGGGGGGGGGGGGCTGTGAAATTTTGGATGAGGGATAGTTCCTGTGCGTTAATTGTCCTCGTCAACACAAAATAGTCATCCAATTTGAAATTTCATTTGAGCTTAAAAATCGTTGCTTTTTGTTCCTTTTTACTTTTCTCCTTTTTCTTGTTTCCTTCTACTTCCTCATCTTCTTCACATGTTTTTTCTCGATGAATTTACATTCCGAGAAATTATAGGCAAAATGATTTAGAAATGTAGTTAGGTTACTGCTTTATCAATTGATATGGTTACAAGGGCTAACTTAATCCTCTTTGTTTCAGGTTTCTTCGTTATAATTTGAAAGAAGAGTAAATCCTAAACCCAAATATGATAACGCAAAATTCAATATAATAAGTAATACTGAACGAGAAGGCAGGTCGAAAAACCAGTTGAAACCAGTAGGCAACTGGTACCAGTTAAAGCTAGTAGTCAACTGGTACCAGTTGAAACCAGTATATTGAACTAGTTTTTAATATGGGAATTGAAACACCGCCAACCGGAACCAGTTGAAAAACCAATTGCCATTTGAGTCCAATTTATATTTCCAGTTGGTTTACCAGTTGAAACCACTATATTCAACTTGTTTTTATTATGGAAATTGAAACACCGCTAACTGGGACCAGTTGAAAAACCAGTTGACATCTGAGACCAGTTGATATTTCAGCTGAATTACCAGTTGATTTACCAGTGGATTATCCAGTATATTGGAGCCCAGTGATCAACTGATAATCTATAATTGATATTGACATCTGGTCACCAACTGGGTCACGTACTATATACACTCTTGCAATTACCCCATCACAAAGATCATTTGAAGTGGATTACAGATTATAAAATTATACAAGTTCTTTCCTGGTTATTAATTATATAATCAATATATCTAATTTTACGTCGCAAATTAGATGTAAAACATGATCAGGCATATATAATATATTTGTCAATGCACAAAATTTGATGAGCATTGCCACATTTGCTTGACAGATCATGATAATTATATTTTCTGTGAAATATGCAAACTAATCATGAATATGCATATAATACATTCATTGGTTTTTTAACTGGTTTTTTAACTGGTTACTGTACTGATTTCTAGCTCATCCGGCCCGAAGGGCCCGATGAGCTTATGCCGTGGCGTCCGTCGTCCGTTCTTCCGTCCGTCCGTCCTTCCGTCCGTCCACAATTTTCAAAATGCTTCTTCTTCGTTATTTTTCAACCGATTTTGATTCTGATTGTTTCATATGATAGGGCTAGGAGGGGGATTTAAAACTTCTACACAGAATCGTGAAATTCATTATCTATGCTAATTTATGCAAATGTATTCGAAATCACAAAAAATGCTTCTTCTCCTTCATTTCTCGACCGATTTTGATTAGGTTTGCTGTATCTGGTAGAGCTAACTTTGGTACACTAAACTTCTACACAGAATTTTGAGATTTTGCTTCATTGATTAATTATGGTAATTTATGCAAATTTATTCAAAAAATAGTTTAAAAATCACAAAAAAATGCTTCTTCTCCTTCATATTTCGACCAATTTTGATTTGGTTTGCTTTATATCGTAGAATTCTACACAGAATTTTGAGATTTTGCTCCATTGATTAATTTTTATTTTTTGACCAGTTCAAAAGTGTACCACATAAAATTTACGATATTTGTTGTTGCGAGATGCGGATGAGCGCTACGTCATTGACGTTCTGGTTAAAACTGTTTTTTGAACTTGTCTTTCAACTTGTTTTCCTACTGGTTTTCTGGTCACAGTTAGCGAAAATCAAATGTCCATATTGACACCAGCTGAGTATACTGGTGTCAACTGGTACCAGTTGAGACCAATAACATACTGGTCCAAATTAATCTGGTATTCTACTGGTCCCAGTCAACCTGGTATTTCTACTGGTTTCCAAATTGGTCAATTGATTTTAACTGGTACCAGTTTAAAATCAGTTGATTACTGGTTTTCATCTGGTAGATCAACTGGTAATTTATTGTTTTTCATCTGGTAAATCAAATTACTTCAGATGGCAACTGGTTTTTTAACTGTTCCCAGTGAGCGGTATTTCATTTTCCATATTTAAAACCACTTAAATATACTGGTTCAACCGGTACCAGTTGACGACCGGTTTTAAATGGTACCAGTTTACCAGTTGAAACCAGTAATCTTCTGGTCCCAATTAAACCGGTATTCTATTGGTCCTAGTTGAAATTGGTATTTTTCGACTGGTTTCCAACTGGTACCAGTTGAGGCCAAATTCTACTGGTCCCAGTAACAACTGGTATTGTATTTTCCAAATTGCATCAACTGGTCTTAACTGGTACCAGTTAAGACCAGTTCAAACCAGTAGATACCAGTTGGAAAAACTAACTGGTTTCAACTGGTATCAGCTGGATTTCAACCTGGGTGACCAATGAGCACTGTCTTTTCTCGATCCTTACAGGTTGGTTCCTGAATACGACGGGGGACCTCTCGGACAAGTACGCCATCTCTATCACCCCAGCTGGCTGGGCCTTTAGCATCTGGGGTGTCATCTACATCTGGCAAGCAATCTGGATCATCTATGTCATCGTCAACATCTTCAGGACCAACAAGTTTGGCAAGGTGAGTGGGTAATCTCAACACTATTATACATGATATCAAATTAATTTATTTAAATAAAAGTCATCCGGAATGTTATCTGTATCTCGCAAGCCATTTTGGCAAATTTAACTCGAAGACACACAAAAGTATGACATTAGCATGGTTAAATTAAAAAGTAGTGAACCGCCCCACCCCCCCCCCCATCCTTTCCTCCTAATTTGCTGGTACGTATACTCAGATGATAACTTACAATAGCGTAGTCGTGATCTGAGATTGATTTGAAATCCAACTACCACATAAGTCTGTGAATATTGATGTGCATCCCCTCTTTCTTTTCTCTCCTTTTTTCTGTCTTTTCCCCTTTAACCAATATTTTGTTCCTCCATATTTGTATTATTATGTATCCTTTGAGGGTAGTCATACTATCAAGCTTTGCTTATTTTGTCAACCCTCCTGTTTGATGTTCTCGATTAGTTACACACAGCCTTACTTTATTCTACATATATTCTTTTGTCATGTGTAAATTTGCAATATTTGTTTGTTATATATTTGTAAAAATGCAAAAGAAAAAGAAAATCAAACAGAAATAAATAAATCAAATCAAATCAAATCTCCATCCTAGACTCTGATAATGATAGGTTATACCGTCGGAAAATTATATCAGCCCAAAAGGATTCTTCTTCAAATTGTCGGCATGTCCCATTTGTCGGCTATGCACCTTAGATGAAAAATCTGACAACGATATAATACTATACAATTATGGTAATATACACTATATTGCTTTTTACTTTTTTAATTTTGGTTCGTGTCTAATGAAATTGAGTTTTCGGTGTCATCTTTGTATGTTGGCTGCCTTTCTAGGCTACTTAGACTTTAATTGACTTTAATTTGGACAATTTGTCGGTTCCTACACTATAATAGTCCTATTTTTCTTTTCTTTTTTTGACATTAAAATGTATCTTAAACACATTGGGGAAAGATGTAAGGCTTGAAAATGTGAATGTTGTACTTTATTTTAAATAAATTTCTTTAATCGACTACCCCTTGACTTATCTTTACAGGTGTACCTGAACCCCTCCATCGTCCCCCCTGCCTTGCTGGCTATCTACGCCGTCAACCTCGTACTCAACGTCACCTGGTTGTTTACATGGGACAGACAGTACCTCATCGTCTCTCTCGTTGTCCTCGCACTGATCGCATTCACCAACTATGTATGTGTCATCATCAACCTCAGAGCGGTTGATAAGCATATAGAACAGTTGTGCAAAGATCACAGGTAAGTTTGGGCTAGTCTTTTCTATCTCTCACCCCTTTCCCCCTCCTGCTTTTTTTCTGCATGGGTAATTCTTATTTAAGCAAGTTCAAGTACACGGATTGGTTACAATTATTAAAGATTTCATTTTTGCTTTTGGGAGGGAATGGTAAATAGGCAAATTCAAGGTATACTGATTATAATTATGACAGATTTTAATCAGCTTTTTGTTGAAGGAGGATTCGTATATCAATATACACTAATATTAATTATTAAAGACTTTAAGTTTACCTGATGATCAGACGAAATAATAGGTGACACTTCACGTATTCATCAATCTTTGACTTGTTCGTTAAAATATAGCATGAAACATTAGCCGATGAGGAATCATTATCGGAACCCGATTGCGAAACATTTCTTTTTTTCTTCTTTTTTTCCAAAGAAAAAAATATTCAATCATTCTTGAGCAAGAACCAAACAATACATTTGAACAAAGTACAAGTTGTGACATATCGGTAAAACAAACATTATTACAACAGTTGCACATGCAGGGGCGGATCTAGCTTTTTGCTAAGGGGGGGGTTGACCAAAATAATGACGATGCGGAGCATCATCCACGAGCCGCGAAGCGGCGAGCCGATTTTTTGGGGGGGGTTTATTTGAACCCCGTAAGTGATGTTTTCCTGGCATCTATTAACACAATGGAGACCATAAAAAGCAGTGCATGATAACGTCTTTTTAAATCAAGTAACAGTTAAATACACAGTTATATCCAGAGTTATCATGTGTTTGGTTAAGTTACCAGATGAGTTGAATATCTTCTCACAATATTTGCACTTGAAAGGGTTTCTCTCCAGCGTGCGTTCATTTTTCTTTCTTTTTTTTTCTTTTTTTTTCCCCTTTTTTTTTTGTTTGTTTTTTTTGGGCCGCCCAAGGGGGGGGTTAAACCCCCTAAACCCCCCGTAGATCCGCGCCTGGCAAGGGACTCTGTGACATTTGTTCGCCCAACCCCCCCCCCCCTCCCCCCAAAAAGAAATAATAATAATAATAATAATAATAATAATAATAATAATAATAATAATATGAAATAAATACATAGAAATAGAATAAAATAAAATTACAAGTTTTAAAAAAAAGATAAGATTTAAAAAAATGGTCCCCGGATTTTTTTTTTGGGGGGGTTGCAACCCCCCCCCCCCCCAACCCCCCCTCTAGATCCGCTTCTGACATGTCTCCATTTATCAAGTAATACAAATAACTTATTGGCCCGAATTCACAAAGGAGGTTTGTCGACAAACATTCTTTTGTTTCGACAAACATTCTTTTGTTTCGACAAACCTCCTTTTGTTATTTACAAACCAGGTTTGTAAAAAAACGCGTCAAAACGATTATGACGTACATAAACCTCGGTTTGTCGACAAACCTCCTTTGTGAATTCGGGCCATTGCGTTTGATAGAAAGAATCCGCTCAACTTCATAACATCGTTTGAGCATCTTCTTAAAAGAATTCAAAGATAGCCGTTCCCTTTTGTATGTCGCAAAAAATATATAGTGTTTTGCAAATAAAATGACAAAATTAAAGATAGATTGCGTACCATCTGGGAAACCAAATAAAAAGCAATTTTTATTCAAAAGCACTTCATTGTTTAGAATAGAGCTTTGGAAGTCTTGTATGAATTGATGCGTAACAGGGTATTCCCAAAACAAGTGTGAAATACTTTCAACAGAGGATAAGCAAAATGTACATAAATTAGAATTAGCTATGCATGCCCATAAATGTGAAGATATACCGAAACATTTCGGTAAACTATTGAAGCGATTTCAAACCTGCTCCTGACTGAAGATTCTAATTGATCAATTCGAAATGTCATGAGTACCAGGTCGTTGGATAAATCTCGCCACTGAGTGCGATGCACAGCTAAGCTATCCTACCGAATGACTTTACCGAATAATACTTTCTTCCATTTAATTGTTCCTCCAGGGTTGATCTATGGCTGAACAGCTTTTTCATCACAAATGGTATCCTCGTCTACGCGACCTGGACCACCATCGCCACTCTCCTCAACCTCAGCACGGTTTTAACCTACTCCGCCGACCTCGAGGAAGAAGTCGCCTCTCTCATCTGTCTCTCCATCCTCACCGTCGAGCTCGTCCTCTACTTCGTCGTCGATATCTTCCTCCTCGAGCGCCACCTACGCTCGGCCTTCATGGTCTATCCCGTCGTGATCATGGCCTCGATATCCGCACTCTTCAACAACTGGGACCCGAACAGGAGCGTGTCTATCTTCACCGCGGTGATCGTCGGCCTGGCGTGCGCTGCTCTTGTGGGCAAGGTGATCAAAGGACTCACGTGCTGTTGTCGTAAGGATCAAACCACCGTAGCTAACAGTGACAAAATGCCGATGCAGGATGTTGCCTGAGTGATCGACCTCATTTCGGAATTTCGAAGCAATCGACTGTTTTAATTGCTTTTGAACGTAGACTAGTGTCTAATCTTTGGAATTGTCCATTAAAGGTACTATGTCCCTTTTGCAGCCAACCTCAAATTCTGTAGAACTTTGCAGGAATTATGAATATGTCATGTATGTCCATCTGTGAAATTTAAACATTAGCAGTGTCCTAATATTCAAATTATGCAAGGAAACCCGTTTACTTGCTAGACTTCACTGTCAGACACTATTGAGTGACTGACTGGCTCTTTTTCTTCTTTGGTAATAACATACATAAAATGAGCTGTAAAGGGTACATGAGCATTTGTCTACATCAATAACCCACTTCTTGTGATGGCCAAAATTAAACTGATTGAACCTTTGCGCAGCATAAAACGTATAACCATTCCGTACAATGATCTGAAAATCAAGACTATTACTTATTGGCTCTATAGCTCCTAAGTCGATTTGACAACTAATAGTCGTTAATTTCACACTTGAAGACATTTTCAAATCCCACCTCTTTTAGGGAAGTTTTAAATTAGTATTATCTTTAAAATGCCGTTGGAATTCAACCTTTCATTTTTTGGGCCTACAAATGGGACATAGTACCTTTAAGAGATATGTTTCCATTTCATTTTTTCCGGTCATTACTCGTGACGTCAATGTGTGAATACTTTAATATTTTAATGCATATATAACTATAATTTGAAGTTGTTAATTTCAACTCGTATTTATCAGCAAGAGGGCTTTATCGGCGAAATCATTATGACTACTGGTTATAACAGGTTTTTCTAACCGGGTTCCAACTAATCAAGCTTGAACATATGCAATGTATTTTGAGAATTATAGGCAGTGCTAATTAATATTTGTTTTCCGAATAGACCAAATTATATTTTACCAGGAATATGGATGGATGCATCGAAATGTAAGTCCCAAGCACAGGGGCATCGCTATTGAGCCCCCCCCCCCCCCCCCCCCCTCAAATAATTTTGTTGGAAATCCGCAATCTTGACGGCCAGCTCGGTCTCGGGATTGTACAATATGTTTACATTATGCTTACATTTTGTTGTTGATCTTCGTTGTCGATAGGTTGATTTTTTTTTTTTGGTTGCTAGTAATATTTGAAATATCTAGACTCATGTGTCAGCAAATTCGGTCCTACAACCCCTAAAGATTGCCCCCCTCCCCCCTTTTTTTTCCCCCGGTTATTCGAAATGGTCGCGAGAGGACGCCACATCGCTTGAATTTTAGCCAGCAAATATCGCATTCGCAGTGAATTAATTTTCCAGGCAATAAGTTCACCTTGTATATCTCAAAATAACCAATGTGCAGACAAATTTTGTAAATAGTTATTTATAGAATGTTTATAAGCAGATTCTGTGCTACATAACCACCACTGAAGAAGAAGAAAAAAAGACAAAAATATATATTACTTCTACGTATTGTTAGTTATTTTTTTATGTATTTTACTAATAAAACTGATTCAACTATATTTGAATACTTATAGTTTTGTTCATTTTATGTACTTTCTGAGCGAGAATAATGCTCATAGCGTATGACTGTATTAGCATATTGAATGAGTCCAATTGTCGGGACACCCGCGCAAGAGCAGATAAATGTTTTTTGTTCACAGCTTTTACAAGGCGCATCGAGATGAATGCTAAACACAATCATGTTCATGAAATTTGTGTAATCTTTTTAATTTATGCACCGTTTGCAACATGTTGAAGTATTCTTCTCAAGAGAGCAAACTAAATGCATTAATCGATGCACCTCCATCACCATAACAGGTAGGACAAACATTATGGCTTGCCCTAGCTACCTATAATATTCTTAAATGCAATTTGCATTCTGACTTTTGAAATACAGTTATTCATAACGGATGAATGAAATAATTCGTATCGAGTGCACTTACGCAAAAATGTGGTTGCATTACGAAGATGAAACTCTTTAAATTTGAAGGACGAATTAGGGAATAATTATTGATTTATCTTTCGTTGTAGTAATTCTTCGTTGGTAATGTGGGTTTGGAAAAAGTTAGAAATTGGTCGGTAATGGGGCTATTTATTATTTAACCTCAGAGCCTTTGATTAGGAGAGTTTAACCAACCCGGTTCGAATTGCTCTTTGTATTTGTTGGGCAAATACAGATCAGAAAAATATACGCCGCATGTTGTGACCTACCGAAACCAAGTTGGCCAAGCTCTTTGAATAAATGGCTCTGTTAATTACCCTACATGCAATTTTGCACGAGTATTCACTCGAAACAATCGTATATAAAAGCTCGATAATGCTTTTATTATTACGATTATTTTATCATTTTGTATATAATCGTCGGGATGACAGAGACACATATAAGTCATAATCACTGTTAAAACCATCGAAATCATTGTCAAGATCAGCAACATGTACATTATCGAGACGCCATCACTACAGGTATAGAGATCACCATCATATCATTAAACATCGTCCTACTTACAATCATCACCATCACTACACCATCATCGCCAAACATTATCACTACACAATCATTGCCAAACATTATCGCAAAACCTTTTTTTTTTTTAATCAACCCGGGGCAATTTATTAGGCCTTTATGCATCACCTATCAATGTGGAAATTCACAATGATTTCTACGAGCAGTAAAAAAAAAAAAAAAAGGGGGGGGGCATTGAAATGGCCCTGAAGTTGATTTCTGGGAGATCTTTGCGTTCATATCATCAACAACCATAACAACAACAAACTGATAGTAAACTAACTTTGAAAAGAAGGACAAAACACTGCATAGTTCTTGTATCACTTCCTTGCTATATTTTTTTAATTTTTTAAGAGCATGACTAAGCCACGTCTCATCATGCATATGAAGGCCACGTGATGGAAACAAAAGATCATGATTGGTTCTCTCTTGTCTTTTCTTCCCGTTTCCTTGGCAACAGTGGCTTGCAGCTCACTAATCGTCTACACCGTGCGCACTAACTCCGACACACTAAAATACACTGGACAGAAATCAAACGTTGACCTACAAAGTACAAGCAGACCTACAGGCACGCAAGGAACTATGAGAACAACAGCGATGGCAAAAATAAATATTATGTCATCAAAATTGACAATGTGGGAACAAAGATGGCAAATTGTAGAATCATTAATTGAACTATGGTGCCCTCAATACGTGATATGTCAGAAAATAATGGAAGGGGTGAGGAGTAATTTATGCAGAGTAACAAGTAAAAGGGGAATCCTATAACAGAGACTGATAATTACATGTTTAGCAAGGTTGGTGAAAGGTATATGTACCAAAAATATGACTTTTTGAAGATGAAAACATTTATTCCAACTCGAAATAAATACATGTACAAAAAACCTTTCTCATCTTTGAAGGTTTAAACATCTGGCAATTTGTAATTCTTTTCTTCCCCTAGTTTCTTTTGTAATATTCAACAAATAGTTGTAAACAAATGTTCCAGAGCACTTAAACAAAACATGATTTGGGCCACCGTATAAGTGACATTAGAAATGACAAATACGTTGAATAATTGATTTTAAAAACGGTTCAGTTCTTTTCAGGTTTGCACTTAACCAATACCATTACAGTATCAACAAGTCTTTCTGTAAGAGTTTGTACCTTTTAAATGTTTGAATGATACCATCCACAATTTTTCTTCATTGATAAAAGCCACATACAGGTAGTTGTGGTACCAAGCTCTTCAAAATGTTTCAGTAGGGCTTTACCGACTCTAGTTAGAATTGTGTTGGGCTTAGATTTGAAGCAAGCAATTCAACTAGTGTTTAAAGTAGACAATGGAGCGATGTTACTCACAGCATTTGTCATACGCATAGAGGTTTGCCGATTAAACTGATAATCATTAGTATATTCTGTACATTTGTGCTTTCTGTTAGAAGAAGCAATCAAAATATGTAATTCTTCTTACTATAAAACTTAGTACACTGTTGAAACAGCACTAAAGTGTGACACATAAAGGTTCTTTAACACCATACACAGTGTGGATACATTTGTTGTACAGTTGTACAGTATTCAGCACTGTATTACCCATTAAAGTCTTATACATGTATTACATCAAGTACATTGTGAAACACTCAGCACTATGTTTCAAAGTGAGGTCTTTTATCGCATAGGACAATAAATACTTAGCAATAGGGTGTTTCACACTATGGTCTTATATCGCATAGGAAATAAACACTCAGCAATAGGGTGTTTCACACTATGGTCTTATATCGCATAGGACCATTAAAACTTAGCACTATGGTGTTAAACAGCCAAAAGATACAACCTAATGGTATATAATTCAGACACCACACTTTAGAACGTATGTGGTGTAAAACATATGTTTGGAGCAAGAATAATGTTAAGTCTGTATCAAAGTATTAAAGTGTATGAGTTAATGCCTTCCTGGCTCCATACAAACGAATTGAGTTCAACAATACTCACAGGATACCAATTGAATTTGCACCAATAAGCGTAGCGTTCAACTCATTTACAACCAAAGACCTCCTATCACTTATCTAGCACAGCAAAACCAACAACAAAGGATATATTAGAATGGAATTCTCCAAAAGAAGCTTCTAAAAGTTAAATTATCTAACTACATATACTTTGAGACTGATAATGTAAACCCAAGCTCCACAACTTCCATAACCATAACTTTATCGGCAGAAGAAAAAAAAATAGAGCACATTTTACATGCTGTAAGATAAAATAATTTCACACTAAATGATACATCAATATGTTTCAAATACCTAGAAATTTCCAAATTCTATGCACACTATACAATCGACTAGCTAGCTATGATGACCTACAAATCAACACTAAATACCTCTGTGCATATGTACAAAATCCATCGCGAGATCCAGTCATCACGATTGAAAAATATTACATTTCCTTCTCTCACAATCAACACAAAAATAACCAAGAAACGTATATATTCAAACCATTAATATGGAAATATCCAAAGTGATATTTCGGTCTATACACAACATCAAATTAATATATAACGTGTTAAAGCTGTACAGGAAATACGTGGTCTATCTTCTATTCATTCTAACTACCTTTAAAGTAATCTTGAAGAGAATAAAAAGAAAAAGAAGAAATAAGTTGATGATTCTATATTGTGCCATCATGGGAAATATATATATATATATTCATGTATATATGTACAAAATTTAAATGATTGTGGTTACCAAGACACAGTAAAAATTAGCATCATACTACTTTTTTACATCTCTTGCAACAACGAAAAGAGGGATATACAAACGTAACTAAACAAAGATAAAGAAAATCTCCCCAAAAATGTTTATATACAAATATGTAACACAAAACTTATGCCTAATGCGAATGTTTTCTTTTCATGTAAAGGAGGAAAGTATCCTCGATTTCTTAAAGAAAAACAGATGCTCTGTATTGCTATACAGCTCGACAGGTTATGTGAAACTATTTACAGAAAATTCGGAGATAAATCTACCACAAAAGGGAAAAAGGTTATTTACAGCTGTGTTGATATATGTACACTGTGCGTAAATCAAATGTTACCAGCGCCTCGTAAGAAAGAAGCCCCTGCTCGAAAAATGTCCTATGAATTTCTCTGTACATTTTTTTTCTTCCTGTGCATGGAATAGCGCAGACGAGTAGAAAATTACAATGCCTTATTTACAGTTCAGTTTCAGCGAGATGCTATGAGGATCTGACAGCTATAAATCTGGTTTTATCCCAGGTTGAACTCGAGAAAGACCATCTGGTCACTTCACTCACGAGCTCAGTCTATCAAACTACGCTCATAGTGAAATATACAAACAGGAGTTCAAAGATTACAAAATTCAAAATGCATACTGTTCAGGTCAGACCAAAATTTCTCCACAAAAGATCAGTTACATTCCGGATTTCATTACATTCTATGGCCGACATCCAAGGATCAGAAAACCCAAAATAAATACAAGAATTGACCTACCATGTTCTTTTCATACAACATTCTGTATAACTATTTACACTTCTCACATGGCATTCACGGGACCTTACCTCACAGTCAATAAAGAGAGTACCCTGAGAAAAATTACATATTATTTATTTTTTAAACTGATTATTTTTTCTTTAATTGACCTTACAATATATTGCTCATGTTTCTTACAGTATAGCGACAACAATCCTACAACAGACCCCCAATTCAAGCTAGGGCAAAATCACACTGTCACTATGAAATTCACTGCAAAGTGCATAACTAATTTTTCAAACAGGAATGTGACTTTACAACAGAGTGTAACACTTTTGGTCAAACTTTATCCTTTAACAAAAAAAATTCATCTGCCATTCTAATATTGTGTTTCTGTTGTCAAAATAGTTGCTTCGTTCTTATGCCAAAGGTCTATGTACAATTTACACAAGATAGATCTTAGATATGATAGGAAAGTACAATTTTGTGTTATATCTACAAGCATACATTCCAATTAGACAATTCACACAAATATAGATGAGCTATACCAGTCAAAGTGCAATGAATGTCTCGCTAACTTATCCACAAAAATGTATGCAAACAGCAAATTTACAACTCTCGGTTCAAACAACTGAACTACATCACATTATTGTAAAAGATGTCATGCTATTCACACGATTTCCTGGAAGCTAAACATACATTCTAGAGTAAGATTACTGTAAACAATGCCTGTACAAAGATGATAATTCTAGAATTGTATACACCATAACATATCCTGTTTACTGAATCACTACATAATACAGTCTTTCTACAAACATACTAATCTAATGTTTTTGTATTTTTTCATTCATTTTTCATTTTTTTTTTTTAATAGTTTTTTTTTTTTTTTTTTTTTTTTTTTTCTAGGGATTTACTCAATATCAAATGTATAGAAGAAACAAGTATTCAAATTTTGGCCAAGCAAATGTTAACTGATTTTTTGCAAGCGAGATATCAAACCAAACAAAACTCTGCGGTAAATCAAACTATCAAATTCATTTCATGTACAAATGACCAACAATCCAAGACAGATATAAGCCACAACTGTGAATAACTGAACACTGCATTCTTGTGTGGCAAAAGGAGCTATGTAGCATTTTTAATTTTCACAACAATCGGTCAATTCACCAAGACGATACGACCCTGTGTTACACATAAGAATACCCCAGCCCTATCAAAATCAATTTCTTTAGTTGATAACCCCATTCAACAGCACAGCAGGCAATTAATTTTGTTGCATACGCATAGTGGAATATGTGGATTTTTGTTTGTAAAGGAAAGCAAAGACCGATACCTGATTCCTAATGCCACAAACAAAATGACAGTTTAATATCTGATAGTGTGTTAAATAGGAAAACAAAACCTTTGACACATATTTTCATGCAGCGTTCAACTTCCTGCTTTATCATAAACAGGTTCTTGTTATGGAGAGCAGGTCAGCTATTATAAAGTCTTGTCCTACATGCTTCATTCAAACAGTCAGCATGTTTGACAAGATCTTTATATTCACCCTAGCAGACCTACGTCTCTCATCTCTGTGAATAAACAGACACTGAAACCTAGCCACATCATATAGAGTTTGATTGTTAAACGCTTCACAAAGTTTGACATATCCTTGTAAATTCAAACTTTATCCCCAGTTTTCTTCATCATAGAATGCCAATTTGTATCACTTTTACAGCAGCAATATTAAAACACGAAAATATTTAATCATGCATGATTTTCATTCTTTTTAAAGGGAGGAAATGTAAACACACAATGCCCTTGGGCGATGGAACTTCAATACTACGATCACAGTGAAAAACTGGAATGCTAGATTTTTTTGTTTGCTTTCATAGCTATGCGCAGTAGAAATGTATGTACACTAGAATGTACTCATTATGCATGGAGAAGAACGTGTACCAGCATATAACTTTGGGGAATCCCCGGAGTATGGAATGCCATGCAGTCAATGTCAAGAACTAAAAGCTAACTGTTGGTTGATACAAAGAGGGCACTGTGACTTGAATGGCATAGAATCTAGAATTTAGAATCACTTAAAAGAAGTATGTATGGGATAACAAATTCATCAAATACATTGAATTTTTTGGATCAAATTTTGTTGATCAAATCTAAGTCATATTCTGAGTGCTTCAGTGATTGTCAACACATTAGATTGATTATGTTTTGGTCATAAGAAATGTATCAATTCATATCCCCAACAACATACTGAAATTTGAGAATGTCTTCCAGCTAAATGGGAAATACAATAGCCATCAGTAAAGTACTGCATTGTTTTAAGAAAGGATTATTTATCTACAGTGCCAATTTCTTCCCATTTATTTCTTTCTTAGGCCTTACGACGAACCACCAATAATAAGAGTAAATGCAAATATTAAGAGAACATGTTGTCATAATTAAACATGCCATTCATGTCACAGTACAGGCTCAGAAGATGGAGTAGAAGCCATCTTTGGTATGCCTGTTACCAAGGTCTTTGATCAGGGACAAGGGATCAGGGGAAGCAGTCTTCATACGCTCGTCTTTAGCTCGAACCTTAGGCTTAGGGGGTGCTCTAAGGGCGCTGGCATAGGACATTGATGGCTTACCGTCATCCTTGAAGTTGGTTGGGCTTGTGGACAGGCCCAGGAGGTTACTGGTACTGCCTTGTCCATAAGGCGATGAAGGGCTTGGAAGGCTCTCCTGACTAGACAGGCTGGGTGTCGTAGGGCTGAAGTTCTGGAGACCTTGTGACTGTGGATAGCTGTTGAACTCTTGCTGATGATGTTGCGGAGAGAGCGTGCTTGAGAAGTTGTTGCTCATAGAGGACTGTGGCCATCTCTGGTGCCCAACTGAAGGATGGGCGCCATGAGGGCTTGATGATCTGTCATCCTTGCTGACTGGTCTGAAGGTATGTTCTTGGCCAAGCATCGCCTGATGTCCAAAGCCTTTCCGTGAGCTGGGTGGCGCAAGGTGATTAGGATCATCTCTAGGAGAAGTCAATGGACTTCTTCCATTGAATGTGAAGCTGTTGCTTTGCGACTTCCCCAGGAAACTGCCTTTTGCATCTCCTAATTGGATTGCTAATTCCAGGGGGCTCATGCCAGGACTGTTATCAAGGAAGTTTGCTGGAGTGCGCGGGCTCAGGTCACTAGGCTGCACTGAGAATTCCCTCTGGTGTTTGGCCTCATGGTCGCGCCAAGGAGGCATGTGGGAGTCAACAAACACATTGGGTGGTGCAGGCTCCAAGGGACTGTATGGCATTCTATGCATATTGAAGGCTGGTCCCTGGTCGATGATAGCAGGATCACGAATCTTAGGCTGATTCCCTTTAGAGTCTAGGGTATCCCTTGGATTGTGAGATTTCGACCTTGTGGGCCAGGGGTCTCTGTCAGGTTGGTTACTCTCTGATGATGTCTTCCAGTGGTTGACACTATTGCTAAACGGAAGCTGTTGTCCACTGGCTCCCAGAGCATCTGTCTTGTCTGTGTACATAGATTGGCTTCGTTGCCCCTGATGCTGCTGTTGAGATATCTTCGTCTGAGGTGCAGTGTCACTCGTCTGTCTCCCAGGACCTACCTTGGGTGACTGCGACCTCTTGGCATTCGCCAGGAAGTTGTCTGCATAGTTTTGTCCTCTTGTGCGCAACAAATATTGGAATTCCTCATTGATTTGCATCTCCTCAATCTTGGCGACTACTTCCTGTCTCTCAGGGTGGCTTCCACGTCGACTATCCGTGTCATACTGCCCAAGGGGCAAGCTCATCAGCCTTGGGTCTCTAGCTGGGGAACCCGAGGGAATCCTGTGGGCAGCTCCACCAGGATGCCTCAAAGCCGATGATGTCGGTGCCTCCTTGGCTCCAGGTCCCTGATGCTTGTCTTGAGCAGGCTGGTGAGCAGGCGAACCTGGTGGCCCTTGCGGATGCTGCTTCATACCAGGGGGGATCATAAAGCCCCCTTGGTGCATGAACTGATGAGGGTGGTAAGGCACAGCAGGGTCCATGTAGGGGTAGTGAGGGAACTGATGATGATAATATGGATTCTGGACCATCCTGACAGGTACTGGCATATGCATCATGGGCACGTAGACGACACGCCTTCCAGTGTAGGGATCAATGAAAGGCACAGGACTCGCTGGCCTCACCATGCTTCCACCAGGCATGGCACCAACACCTCCAAAGAAAGGCAAGGACTGGTTACCAGGAATGGGAGGGGTTGGCGTGTGACTCGGAGATAGAACCGACCGATGGAGGTTGTTGTTGATGGTCGCTATGCCGCGGGGTGGCGAACCTTGGATGAAGGGCGCCCCCATCATCTGGTTGCGCAAAGCTCGAGGGATGAACTCCTTTGCCAAAGGGTTCAGGACATAGGTCTTCTTCATCTCCACGTTGGATAGCTGGTCCTGGATGGAGGAGAATGTACATCCATGGAGGCTGTCATTGTCGTTGCACATGGAGATGAATTTCTCCCATAGTTTCCTGTAATGCAAAGATAGACAAATCATTAAAGATTGAACACCCTCACAATCAAACCATTTTTTCCATTCATAATCATAGGTTTCTATTTCTATAAACCCTCCACAAAACTTCCATTCAACTTGGTTTTTTAATCCAATATAGATAAGAAAATTGTGAATTGTAATCTGAACACTTATACATGCCATTGATGGCAATATTTTATTATAAGAGCACTATCATTCATATAAACCAAAACTTCTGTGGCCCTTTATAGAATCTGCAATTGGTAAACATAAATTTTTGCAGTGGAAAATGTGACCTTTGTTTAATATACGACTCACCTGCACTTCCCAATTGAGCAAACCGATATGGGGTCACCGATGACAGCCACGAGGGACTGTGCCCTTGTGATGGCAGTGTTCAAGAGCTTGTCATTGGATAGGAAGCCATAGTCGGGTTCTTCCTCACTGGACGACTGAGGAGAGTCTTTGGATGCTGAGCCAGACTTCTTGGAAGGCTGGGCTTTGACCATGTGCTTGCAGGTGTGGTGTGTTCGCACTGTACTGATGAAGAGCGCTCGGAACTGCTTGCCTGGGGAGGAGGATGGGAAAATGCTACTAGTGAACGGCATGAAAAATATTGTAAAAAAAATATGAATGATTGGTTTCCGTATAAAGGATTGTGTCTTTTGTCATGAGCAATTTCACATATTCCTGGAAAACATACAATGAATGAAGCATGGAAGCAATGAGTAACCTGTCTATATATCCACGAACCGACCTAGGAAGACGACCATGTTTTGTACACAAGAATCAAACTAAAAGGTGGTAAATATGAACTCTTGAATAACCAAAGCATACAGAGCAAAGTTCAAATATTAAAGGATTCTACAGAAGTTTAATAAACACTTGCTTCATACAACTTATCATTTGATTTTCATACAAAAAGTCAATTACATATGGGGACTTCTTTTTAGAGACATCTATTTAACTTTTTAAAATTTAAATAGTTGTTCTGAAAGTAAATCGTTCCGACGTAGGCCACATACCTTGAACTCATGAATAATCAGAGCATACAGAGCAAAGTCCAAATATTAAAGGATTCTACAGAAGTTTAATAAATACTTACTTCATACAACTTCTCATTTGATTTTCATAGACAAAGTCAATCATGGGTACTTCTTTTTAGAGACATCTATTTAACTTTCAAAATTAAAATAGCTGTTCTGAAAGTACATCGTTCCGACATAGGCCACATACCTTGGACATTCATAACCCTCTCGACCGACACACTGAAGAGTTTCCTCTTGCGAAGCTCATGTCTGATACGAAACACCTGGTCTGAATAGTGAGCGACCACACCGATGCTGTTCTCATCACATGTCCCCCATTCCTCTGGCCACATCTTCTGAAGCTCTTGCACCCGGTCACACAGTTCAAACACCTACAAAGGGACAAGAAAATTAGAACATCACCATCAGAACTGTTTACCACAAAGAAATGTTCCCCTAAAGGCATGAGAAGCCACATTTCCTGCATCTAATATTTCACACCAAGTTTAAAGCCAAACTGTACTACTTGTAGCTTACTTGCTCCCTCTATATAAAAAACAATGCCTAATAGGTGACCATTGGTCCCCATGATCCTCTTTTTCTTATGTTAATTGAGAGCAGAGGTGATGAGATAACCACCTGTCCAGTGACCTTGCAGGGTGGTCTAATCCCTGCTATAAACTAGTACAGATGGGTTTTAAGATTGGTGTACACACAGGTCAAGATCCTTGCCAGTGAATGACACTAATGGTGCTTATACCAAGTGTGGAGGATTCCAGAAATTAAATGATCACAATTATTTACCAAGGGCTAATTCTCCCCAATGAGGGTACAGACAAAGGTAATAAATATGTTGTCACATAATCTCAACCTGCAAAATCAATTAAATCCTCTGAAACAAATCCCCATGGGTGCGACAATGTTCGATCTCACATGACTTGAAGCAAAGGGTAAAAGAATTCCTGCCAAGAAACCTATGTACATGTACATCATAGTAAAACATTCACAATGTACACAGGGATGCCAGTTAAAATTGATCAGAGGGTCCTGAAAATCACCTAGACTGAGCTATTTGTACACACCAAAAAACTAAACTATGGTCCAAAAATAACTTGCCTGAAAACTGGCATCCCTGAATACATCTTATATACATTCTTCACAAACCTCTGAATTGTTGAAGAAGGAGATACTGTTCTTCTCCTGGACGTCCTCGCCCCTGGCTGTGAAGAATGTCAGCGGGTACCACTTGGGATGCGGGGGCTGCTTGCCACATGCCAGGAGCTTGCCGTCGTAGAAGAGATCCGAGGTGTAGTCAACAATGGCTTCATGGGAGCGGTAGTTGGCGCAGAGAAGGATCTTGCATGGATGATCGTCAGGGTAGTGGTCGTAGAGACGCTCCAACAGTGAAATGTGGAGGTGACGATCAAAGACAAATTCACTGTGCACTTGAGGGCTTATCTGTGACATACACAAGCAAGTGGACATGTTGATGTTATTAGTTTCAAAGAGGAAAGTCATGACTCATGTTTCAGAAGGAAGCCCCTAAATCAAGGACTTTGCAATAATTAAGTAACATTGACTGCCTTCTGGGCAATACGACATATATCGCCCGAACCGAAGGTGAGGGTGATATATGACAAGTCGTATTGCCCTGAATTAGGCAGTCAATATTACTATTATTAACCACATCAGACATCTAGAGGAAACTAGAAACTCTTACTATGTTATACTCTTAAATAATGTAAAACACTGTAGCCAACACTGCACAGGATTTCCTAGCATGAAAAGTTGCAAAAACATCGTCAAACCAGCACTGTGCATCCAGTGCTTGACAAATTTTCGATACACTGCATACAGTGTGCCTGACCCTTGAGTGTGATTGTTACGTCACAATAGAGTATGCGTAATACCAGTAGCTGATGCGCGATGAAAATTACAACTGGATCTACATTATTGCTCACTAGTTTAACACGCATTTTGCCATTGACTTTTCAGATCGGGCAATAATATTTGTTCATTGGTATACTGTATAATCGTATTGACTGGCAAATTACACACAAAATCCCATTGACTTTTCAGATCGGGCAATAATATTTGTTCTTTGGTTTAGTGTATAATCGTATTGACCGGCAAATTACACACAAAATCTTATTGACTTTTCTGAGCGGTCAATAATATTTTTTTCGCCTGTAATTTTGTTGGCTTATCCATTAAACCTCGAGGGCAATAACATTTAAAAATTGCCCTGCTCAGATGTCTGATACGATTAATAATAATTATTATCACTCATCATGGTTTCTGCTTGTTTATTTGATTGTTTACTTAGTCTCTGCTGATAATTTTTGGTTAAACCTCAGAGAAAGTCCTCAAACAGAATGCAATCAGGGGGGGAGGCGTTTCACAAAGCCTTTTTTCAATGACTAATGACAAAAATTAGTGACAAATCTGCTGATAACCAATCAGGAGCAAGAATTTCAGTAGCTTATAACAAAAACTGTCATTGTCACTGATGACAAGTTTTGTGAAATGCCCCCCAGGAAGAGCCAGAACCACAAAACCAATCTTGATAATTTAGGAAAAAGGCAACAAAAATGACTCAATGTGACACGTGTAGAACAAATTTAGAACACTTTTGTACCCACCTGCATGTAGTCTCCAGCCAGGACGATCCTGGTGTCTTTGGTGGCCAGGGCTAGGGGCATGACTGTCTCGCACTCCATGGCCTGGGCTGCTTCATCGAGTAAGATGTGAGTGAAGTATCCTGGCTCGAGCTCCAGGTGGGTCAAAAACCTGATCAAAGATAAGAACAATATGAGAAGGAATTAGTGATCATATTCTACTGCCTGTTGGTTAAATAGATTGGGCATAAACCATGATATTGGGGGCTCGACTATCTTCCCCCTCCCATGGCTTGAGTCACTTCATCAAGTAGAATGTGGATGAAATATCCTGGAACAAGCTGAAAATGAGTCAAAACCCCATGTCGGATAAGCAAGATAATATAATTCCTATTATTAGAGGTGCATGAAATGAGGTATAAAGAACATGCAGCCAGCTCATCATTTGGTAAGAGTTGATGAGATTTCTTTAATATACAGTCAACCTGCTCTAGTGACCACCTGTCTATAAAAACCACATTTCTTGTTTCCCTTGACAATGGTTTCTCATTGTACTAAAGGAACCTGTCTACAAAGACTACATTTCTTGTTTCAAAAAAGAGGTTATATTGCCCTTTAGGTGCCAAAACATGGGTCGGTCGGTCGGAAATCTTTCTTTCTTTTTTAACAATTTGTTTATTTTTTATCTCTGTCTTTAGGCTGATATTTCTCAGTTTTGAATGCTTTAATATTTTTTTCCTCTTAAACGGTTAAAAAAATATTTAAAAAATTTAGAAGCCGACCGTAGATTTCAAAAAATTTGGGTCGGTCGCAAAGGGCAATACAACATCTTTTTTTTAAGGCCTTCTAGAAGAGTTTGAGTTAACCTTGAGGTGCTGAGTGTGGCTACCACCACCCTGTGCTTGAGCACCTGTTCCTTGGTGGGCATGACGAACCGGTCCTCGCCCTCCGACATGCAGCAGTAGAGGCGCACTATGGGGTGCACGGTGGGCACCCACCGGTCCTTGAAGTAGATCCTCAGGGGCTTGGCGGCGGTGTTTCCAGACTCCACAAAGGAGTGGAAGTAGTCCCTGATGTACAGGTCCGCTGCACTGTGAAGGTGGAAGAAGAGGTGGAAACAAGGATATCAGGGCCCCGTCTTACAAAGAGTTGATATCAATCGCAACTTATTTACGATCGATATCAATCGCAACTATGTTCATAAGAGATAGGAGACGGCAAACTTGCGATTGATTGGAGGACTTGCAATTGATTTGGATCAACCTCAACCCTTTGTAAGACGGGGCCCAGGATACTAATAGGACAGAAATTGCCTTTTTACGTGAATCGGTGGACTAAACTAAGACCATTTTACATTTGCACTCCCTCTTACCTATTGGAGTGTGTGCATATCAATATCTTAGTGTTAGGCTGCTGTAGGATGAGTCTGGTCGCATGGGCCAACGTGTAGGTCTTCCCCGTGCCGTACGGACCAACCAGGAAGATGGGCGGGAGCTGATGGACAAGAGGGGTCGTCATGGCAACAATGGCCTCTCGCTGCTTGCTGTTCATCTGCATGTCCATCTTGTCACTCCATTGTCTGTCAAACAAAATATCAAGGGGTGGGTGCACAGTAAACTTTTAGAAAATAGTTGAAAATCGGACAAAATTTTTTTGAAATAAGATTCTAAGGCTGGAGATATCAAGATGAATTCCTTTGAAATTAGCCCTCTAGTTATAATGATATCTGTGATTTTACTGTTTATTTGCAATATGGTTCAGTTACAATCTACATTGTTCTGACTGACAATAAGATTTTATTATTTACTACACTATAATATACAAGCACTGCTTTTTAATAGGTTCCTCACATTTCACTTAATCTATTATATGAATTGAAACATGCTCATTTATACTACATATATTGTATATTTTTTTTATTTCATATGAATGTCTATATTTTTTGTAAAATGTGGAACAATAAAACTTGAAACTTGAAACTATTGCTTATTTTTCTGAAAACTTTCAAGAACGGCTTCCCTTGCATTCTTAGACAAACTAATTCACAATTCAGATACTATCATGACCATGTTAAAAAATGTTTTAAAGAAGTACCTTTTTACTAAATCATAGGAGGGAGAGAAACTTACTTGTTTGGGGTCCATGGTACCTTGGCATTGGTATGCACCTCAGGGAAGAGAAGGCTCATATCTGGGACCTTGTCTACTGCATAGTGCATCTCACACATGTGAAGTCTATGTGGAAGAAGAAGAAAAAAAATTAAAAATTATCTCTTTTAAATAGTTATTCCACAGAAAAACATAAATTTACATAGAGTTAAAAAGGTTAGTCAAGATGAGACTTCAACTGAGTTTTTGTCAGGCATTTTCACATCCTCCTGGACAGGGGCCTGTTTCACAAAGCCTTTTTTTTCAGTGACAAATCTGCTGATAACTAATCAGAAGCAAGGATTTCAGTAGCTTAAAACAAAAACTGTCATTTGTCACTGATGACAAGTTTTGTGAAACGCCCCCTGAAGTTAGCAAGTTTTCAGATCATCCTTTAGATCCAGAGACTGAAATAACCCTTGCTGAGTATTTTACACATTCCCCCGACTCGACAATGTTTCCAAATTGAGGAATTTACCATAATACAAAATTAATAGTCATATTCTGGTGGGTGTCTCGTTAAGATTACAAAATTGTATCCATTTTATTTTGGGATTTCTTACAACTAAGTAAAGATTGTAAAATTTGGTTTTCTGGAAACAGATCTAAAATTTCTGAAGAAATGTGGAGAAAAAAACGACAACCCAGACCTAATAAGCAAATAGACACACTATAGATGAGAATAAAATTGGGTGAAATTCCCTGGTGTATTCCATCTGCAGGCACTCGTACAGTGCGTCCCAGAAAAAACGAAACCAATAATTTAATCACAATTATAATTAATAAATGACACATATTTGTAAAGCTTAGATCCTCCTCTTTTATTTGATGCAAACCATATGATGTATATTTATAATTATAGAGGTGATTAAGTTACGATAAAACATCGATAATTCTCGGTTTCATTTTTTCTGTTCCTCACCTATTGAGCTGGAACTGCAGCTCCACCTTGATCTGTGAGTTGTTCTTCAACCTGAGGTCGTCCACGCACTGCTTGCTCAGGGTCAGGTAGATGGAGTCCTTGCTCTTCTCCGTGATGGGCGCCTCGTAGACCTTCTCAGATGTCCTCCCCTCCTGGACCGGGGCCAGGATCACCGAGTTGCAGCTGTTGAGGATCAGTCGGCCACCGGGCGTGTCGGCAGAGAGGTCGTCGTTGAGGCGCATGAGAGCGAAGAGCTGACCGCTCTGGGCGTAGCGGGCACCGCTGTTCCGTGACGGTACCAGCATGAAGGTGTTGGCCATCTGGAGGGTCGTCCTGATGTTGAACCTTAAAATAAAGAAAAGAAGAGGGTGAAGTGAAGTCCACATGCATTACACTGTCATACAGCATTCATTAAAAGCAATTGATATGTAATTTTACTGTGCCTTTTTGGAAACCCTAAGATTAATTATACATCTTACTTAGATCATAACTGACTAATTTGTTTATTTTGTCACTTAGAAATAATATCAATATTGCAAGCTCATTTCTTCGTTCCGTCAGATTGCAATTTTATTCATTTCATTTTGAAAGTTAGAAATAATTGTTAAGCATTTTAAACCATTATGTAACTTTGCTTCCCAATAATAATTGTATCAAATTTTTCTAATGTAAGCACCAGGTTATTGATTTGAAAGTTTTTATATTTATGTGATGAACGTAAAGCCATTGTAATGACATAATAATGTAATGAAAGTAATCAAGGATATAATAGTAATTGCTCCAACTATTGTTATCCTGATATATATATATTTATTTATTTTCTCATATTGTGAATTTTTATTCTGTTCTTTACTCTTAATTTTCCAGGATGCAGACTGTGGGGGGTGACATGCTTTCGAGTAATAGCAATTTAAATTGCTTTTGTCACCCCTGACCAGCAGATTGTATCCTTCTCTCTATCTCCTCCCCACTTTCCCAAAGCTGTTTGAATGTATTATGAAATGTCTATGTATTATCTGATTGTTATACTCACTGCATGTTTTCCGATTGGTCAAATAAATAATAATAATAATAATAATAATTCTGTAGTCTGGTTCAGAGCTGTTTCCACATTGTAGCCATGTCATTCCCCTGATCAAATACTATCTCATTATTCAGTTTTTAAGAATAATAATCTGTTCTTGTATAGCACATAACACATTGTGATATAATGTTCCAACAGGTTTCCAAAGAGCTGTGGAAATTATTACGCTAGCTATAGCTCCAGCAGCCGTTATCAGTGCACAGTGCACTTCAAGGAACAATCCTATCACATACTTTAATATATTCCTCACCTGGATAGAGTGTGGAAATTGTAGATTAACGTCTTGCCAAAGGACATTAGTGTTGTGGCAGGGATTTGTACCTTGTGGTTCACATTCCAGAGACTTATCCACAGGACCACAACACCTCTACAGTGTTACCAGCATTACAAGATAAGGAAACTACTCGGTAGGGGTCGGTTTCTTGAAGTCTTTACATTAAAAAGATGACTGCTTATGAATATATTTCATAACATTTCAGACAATGACTCATTATAGGAGAGAAGTGTGCTACTATACTTCACAATGCAAACTTCAAATACTTAACTCAAGTATAGCTTCTCAGCTTGTCTGGGCTATGCTCATTATCTTCCTTTCCACCAGTTTCAACATGACAAACTTTCACTAGTTGTGTCACTTTATACCGGAGTGTTGGCTCAGTCAGTAGAGGGTCCGCCTCACAACCGGGAGGTCGTGGGTTCGAACCCAGGCCACGTCATACCAAAAGACCATAAAAGATGCGAGTTGCTGCTACCTTATTTGGCGTTCAACAATAAGGGATAGAGCAACGTCAGGGAATAATTTTCCTCAAATTTTTTGATTAGCAATTTCAGCCGATGGATAAATATTTCAAATTAAATTCTGTACATTTCTATGGAAGAAAACTGCTACACAAAAGATATTTTGTATAGCAGTCATGCAAAAATGCATAGCAAATTGCGATGCGATACCAGGAAAATTATTCCCTGAACGTCGATCTGGCGCTGCTCAGTGGCTGCCAGGCTCACGATCAATTGGGCAAAAAGAATTTTTGTTTCGGTTTAATAAAATTAGGAGTGGACTTTAAAAGATTTTTATTATTTTTTTATATTTTTTTTTTTACTTACTTGCCAATGTCCCTGAACCTGGCCGTCTCCTCTATGTACAGCAGATCATGCATCCTATTCTTGTAGTTGTTCTTTGTGATCGTCTTCTCCAAAACTGAGCGCTTGAAGAGCTCTTCCGTCGAGTGAGGAGGCACGTAGAATGACAGCAATCCTTTATCCTCCTCCGTCCCCAGCTGGATCGGCGGACTGAAGTCCACCACCGTTTTGTTGGTTCCATCCCAGCGCTCCGTCACGCACACCATCGACTCCCGCACTTCCTCCAGCTCCTTCTGGTCCATGGCCGACACCGAGTCAACGGAAATGCGCTTCATCAGCACCGGTTCCATGCCGAAGTCGAAGATGATCGACTGACGGAACGTGCCGAAGATCTGCGAGGTGAACTGGATCTTGACGCGGTAGATGCGCTCCTTGGACTTGGTGCTGTTGTAGGGGTTGATGTTATTATTGTTGTTGTGGGAGCTCATCTTGCTGCTCCACTCCTGGCAGTTCTCCGGGATGTCCAGAGAGTTCTGGCGCTTGGAGTCACCCATCAGGATGCTGGTGATGCTGAAGTGAGGCCGGTGGACGTCAAAGAACAGAGCCACACGTTGGAGCTGCTTGCTAGGCTGCTGTCGGGAAAGGAAAGTAAAACCTAGAAATTATCAGACACTGTCTATCCACAAGAATATATTTTGGCACATAACACTGTTATGTATTGATTTAAATACATGAATAGCGGTGATTCTAAGGACCAGAAAATTGAAAAATTCTTCACTGCATCATTTGTACGAATGAGAAACTGAGCCTCCCTGTCCCCAAAGGTCAACCATAACCTTAAAAGTTTAAGATTACTATAGTGCTGTGTGAACAAAAAATGTAGACATATGTCCTTTTCGACAACTGGAGAGTGTTTCACAAAGACTAAGATGGACTTTAAGTTGGACTTAACTATGGCAGGCCATTCATGCCACTATTTTCTCTCATCATTTACTGGCATTGGCTTCTCAAGAGATGTACCAATCGTGGTCACATATCTACAGAATTTACTTTTTTTGATAGTTAATTATTGTAGGAAAGAAAATTACCTAAAGATCATCATTGAGAGACCAATGGTTAGAGCAACCAGTGGCATGAATGGCCTGACATACTTAAGTTCAACTTAAAGTCGATCTTAGTCTTTGTGAAACACCCCTCAGAAAGGAGTACTTCCCAAGGTGTTGGTAAACCCAAGTTAAATTAATGAAAATGATAATGGGTGTATTCTCACTGACCTTGCAATGAAGAGTGAAGATCCAGGAATGCGCAGTGTTCTTACTTGAGACTGTGACATTGGAATCGGAGTTGATGCTCACCTTCACATCATCAATAGATTCGCTTAACTGAAAGGGAGAAAAGAAAGCAGTGTGAACAATCCATGATTAAACCTGCCAGTACCATAGAAAGACATACTTCTAAAACCTATAATTATCTTTTCAAATTACTTATTTATTCAGATAGAACCCCTACACAGCAGAACCTAAAAAAAATCAACAGAATATATAAGAAATTTTAAAACAATTTAATCTATAAGAAATAACTTCACTTCTGATGATTTTGTTTGTACAAGTTTGTAAGGATAACATTGTATATAAATACTATCTCAAAGATAATTAGGTGGTCTGTTGAAAACAGATCACCTATTGTTTTCGTCAGAATTTTCTTTCTTTATTATTTATTATTTATTATTTATTCTTTATTTTTATTTATTTCCTACACTTTTTTGTGCCTAGGATAACTCACGTTCGGTTTCGTCAATTTCATTCAATTTTGGCACAGTCATAGGTCATTGTCATGAGACGTGACAGGAACATTTTCAAGGTCATCAGGTCATCGTGACGTCATCCAGGCGCCATTTTGTGAAATCCCATTATCCATCATATCTTCATGATGCGTCACCAAAGGTCATTCATATTCATATCACATATACTTCAGGTCAAGGGTCAACAAGTCATGTCATCAAAGGTCACATAAAGGTCATGACGCGCACATACGCGCGCGTCAACATTTTAAAATGCTCAAAATCACTTAACTATTAAACGAGAGTACGAATCAGGTCATTTTAAGCATTTCAAAAATTTCCGTCCGTACTTGTCCCCGCGCGCGGTGCGCGCGCTCACAACGCGCGGAAAAGGTCAAATTCAATTTGTTTACATGATTTAGATTCCTCTTACCGTAAATGACAATTTACATTAATTTCAGTCACTCTTGACCTTTCATAAGGCCGTGAGCGCGCGTCAAAGTTCACAATCCGCGCGTGCTGCTATGGGAAATATAATGCAAATTTGATCAAAAACATGCCATTTTAAAAATCAAAATAGCTCTTCAGATAGTCCATCGACCCCCAATTTTTATATCATAGTTGGAGAAAGCATGAGTTGGAGATATGATTTCATACCACCCTGACTCGTACAAAGTGAAACAAAGTCATCATATTGGCATCTAAACTCAAACAAATGTATTTTGTTGATGACGTCATTTTTGTCTTTGTTTAATTGAGATTATCTCACTTATCGGTGATCGATTTTCTCCCAAATTTAGATATGTTGTAGCTGAGATAATTCTCTATCAGAAATATTATTTTTCATTTGGATGACGTCATCATAGTGAAATATTCGATTAAAGGCGACAATGCATAATTTGTCATATTTGCGTGTTATGTCTATGGGAGGTCACTTTTTTCAAAACATGAATCTGCCTGACAATGTGTTTTGACCAGTGTCTCGGTGGTTATTCAAACAGTTTTCAACCAAATCTTAGTATGTTGTAGCTGAGACTATATGCTATCTAAATATTTCCTCATTTTTTCAATCAGATGTCAGGATCATGCTCATACTCATCATCGTCATCATCATCATCAATATCATCATTATCATCATCATCATCAATGTCACCATCATCATCATCATCATGGTCTGAAGATGATGATCATCAACATCACCATGATCATGATCATTATCATCATCATCATTAACATTATCGTTTTTATCATCATATAACATTATCATTATCATGATCATCATCACCTTTACTATCATGATCATCATCATGTTCATCATGATCATCATTGTTTACTTGTCTATATATCTTCTCCCATTCTCAAATCTATCATAAGACTTAGACAGACCACCTTATTCGTCTTCGTGACGAATTAAATTTCTAGTTCTTTATTTCATTTTCAATTTTAAAGATAGTTCTTCGTTTCATTTTCAATAAAACTTAGCATAAACTATGATTTTAAATGTCTAAGTGTTTTACTAAAAAAAGCATTGATTAAGAAAAAAAGATTGATTCTTGTTCTTGTAGTCCGTGTCTAAATCAGAGGCGATGGTCTTGGAGCTTACCTGGGGGGCGTTTCACGAAGCCTTTTTTCAATGACAAATGACAAAAATCAGAGACAACTCTGCTGATAACCAATCAGAAGCAAGGATTTCAGTAGCTTATAACAAAAACTGTCATTTGTCACTGATGGCAAGTTTTGTGAAACGCTCCCCTGGCCTTCATTTCTAAATATTACTTACCACATTGAGAGGTGCAGGTGAATTCATCCACTTCTCAAAGAGTTGCTCTGCAAAGCCCATGCCATGGATTTGCTTGTCTCTCGCTCGTTGGTATTTCATCTGTCTATACCTGTAGCGCTCCTTCCACTCAGCTAACTCGTCCTCACTATGGGCGTATGTACATTGCTGACCAAATCTGCATTTTAGACGGCTGCAAACATGGAGAGAGAGAGAGAGATCATTTTTCAATGATGACATTCATGTTGTACTCTTGACAAACTTTAATTTGACAAAAAATTAGTTCAGATGTAATCCAAATGTTGTTTGATGTAGGTTCAGACAATTGTGGAATGTCTCTACATTAGAAATTGGATACTAAATTAACTAGATAATACTGTCAAAGCCGATGTTTTTTGTGGATAGAAATAAAAACAACGCAGACATTTTCAATATTCTCAGTCCAAGTTTTAAAATATAACTATATCTAAAAATCGTCATCATCATTATTATCATCATCACCATCATCACCATCACCCTCGTCGTCATCATCATCAACATCACCACCAACATCATCACCATCATTATCATCACCATCATCACCATCATCATCATCATCATCATCATCATCATCACCATCATCATCACCATCACCATCATCATCATCACCATAAACATCATCACCATCAACATCATCAATACTATCATCATCACGATCGTCGTCATCATCATCACTTACTCTGCACAGAGGAGGTATTCCTCCCCGACAGCCCCCCTGGGAGGAGGCCGATGCTTCCAATCCCGTCCTTCGTCCGATGAGATGATAGCTCTATGGCTCTCACTCATACTGTGGAGATGGTAGTCCACCTGAGTTGAACATTGCACTTGACAAAAGGAGCAGAAGTTCTCAGGGCCTGTGCACCAAGCAAAAAGGAAAAAGAACAACATTTAATTAGAAATATTTGTAAGTTGCTTTGACGTACATGTACAAGCTTTCTTTATTCAAAAGTCCAAGTTGAGACTTGGGGTTGCTATTGTTTGTTTTTATTCTGTTGTTGTTATTTAATTTGGTTCTTCTTGTGTTTTAGGGTTTTAGTTCAGGGTTAGAGATGCACACTTTTTGGTCCAGGGGAGAATTAATAGTTTGGTAAGCCTACGATATTGACTGCTGAATAATTGCCATGGGAGCATGTGTCTGACAACCATAGATAAATAGGCTCCTCCATGTTCCATATTTTGTCATAAATTCTATATATAGAATTATTGACAGAGACATACATGGAGATATACACATGTAAACAGAAATGTATTTAACAAGAAAGCAGAAAGTACCCTGACGGCCTACAACAACAGGTCACATGTCACGAGCGTTACTGGCTATTTTCACTATTTCTGGATTAAACCTTATTGGCAAGGTCAATCTTAATGTATCCCTGATTGGGGGAAGGTCAATATAGCTTTAGGTCAATATAGCGTTTAATTATTATTAAAGTCTTATAACTGAGGTGGCTATTTACCAGGCCAAGGTGAGTGGTAGGTAAATTGAAAGGTACAAGCCTAATAGAACAGTGAAATAATGAGTCTCAATTAAACTTTATGTTCATGTAGATACATTACTAGCAACTCATAAGGTCAACAGAGTTGTATTGGCTCAAAGATTCATACAGGTTGAGATTGCTATAGGTTAGAGTGGGGGGACGGGAGGGCATATAACAGCTTTAAGTATACACAGCTATAAAACGTCTACAAGTTAGCCAGGGTACAATGTGCTAGGTCAATTAGAACAAGCACTGGTTGATAACATTCAGGTTAATCATGGCCCCTATTATTTTCTAAAGTTTGGCAACTCTGATTTAAAAACAGGATGTGGTAAATGAATGGCCTTTACAATAGTATCTATACAGGTGTCTTCAAAAGTAGTTCATTTAATTGGCTCTCAGGTTCTTCAATAAACATGTGGCAACATAGATAATGGGTAAAATGTCTTGTATCAATCTACCCCCATAAGGGCTCATCCCTGTGGCAAAGCTGGCCTTTAAAAAAATGTCTAAATGAATGGCAAATATGGTAGGAAAAAAGTATATATGTCGAGCAAAAGCAAATGCGCCTCTTATCTGTGGTTTATAAGATACAGAAATGTGAAGCACATTATGCTTAAAGGCGTCGTTTAACAATGTTAAATCTGAGATGCATGGCCCTACGTGTTATCAGTGTCTGTGATATAGTGTAATATTAAGGCCCTAAAAAAATCGCGCTTCAAAATGATCATGAAGTGCCTCAAAAAAGTAAAAATCTTTGAGTGACCTGTTTTACCATACTCATTTCCCCCAATACAATGTAGTGTTTTTGTTTCAGAATCTGAGACAAAGTTACCCATTCCCTTTAAATGTCATTCATCTCAACCCTAGCAGTTTACTTGGGGTTTTGAGGCTTTAAGATAATGCAAAGTTTTGGGAAATTTTGAAAATTGGATGGATAGTAATTCTTTAAAATGTTGATATATTTGGATGCCCCTGTGGATGTTTTATAAGCTCTAGAAAATTTAGCCCCTAAACACTTCAGCTTTCGAGAAATTAAATAATCACAAATTTACCGGTGCAATTCGGATATGCAGTTCTGATATACAACTTCCAAACGTGAATAGCAAATCGGTTGATTGTAGTAAAAAAATATATTGTTTTGAAGCTAAAGTAATATCAGTCTTGAGAGGGCGCTATACAACATAAGAGTTTATTATTTACAATTTCACTTTAGACTCGATTTCAATATGCCTCTAATATGTTCATTTGAACCAAATTCATGACCCCATACCAAAACTTTGTAAATACCTTTAAGAATTCCCTCTCTATCTAACAAAGGAGATTATATTCTTTACAAACATGATATATTACTCACTCTCTTGTTTGCCAGCATCTTTTTTATGCTTTCCCTCAGATGCTGGTTTGCGTTTCCCCCTCTGGTGATGAGTGGATGAGGCTGAGCTTGCACTACCACCACTGGCTCCTTGGCCCCTTCCACTTGACTGCGAGGGGTGTGATGAGGCTTCCGTTCCGTTCTTATCTCTTGCTGATGTATTTCTACTTGTTGATGGGTTCTGTAAGTTTATAATTTAATCAAATAATATAACACAGTTAAAAAGTGCATTATGTGCATATATATATATAGTTTTCAAAGAGTACACGCAGAACAGGTGTCTTGTACAGTGTACAAATTTAAACGTTAACTGCAGGACATTTTGAACAAAGTTTATAAAGCTGTCAGATAATCAACTTGACATTTTTCTTGCGCGAACATTGTATAGCTAGACATTCGATTCCACACCATTTCTTTCACAATGCAAGCGCATGACCAGAATTTTATTGTTAAATTTGATATTAGTATAGCGTTCAGTCAAGGACTGAAGTTGGAACTTTTTTAGTCTCACAAAATGAGTGTTTAATTACTGCTTTTAAAAGCATGTATCAAACAATTATCAAGAGGTGAAGTGTAGTTTGGATTGAGTTACCTTTTCTCGACTGAAAATATAAGCAGGAATGATAGTGAGCACTAAAGGTTATCCAGGTTATCCCTGGTTTCCAGAGCCCTGTCTTACAAAGAGTTACGATTGGATATCGCAAGTGCACCAATCAATCGCAAGTTTGCAGTCTCCTATCTCTTTGTAAGACGAGGCCAAGGACAGCTGAGAACCCTGACTTACCTCTGTCTTTTCATCCAATAATCTCTTCAGTCTGTTTACTTCTTTGGATGCTTGGCCATTCTGTATAGAAATAGAACAATATCATATCGATGACAAAATATATCATCACAACATTTGTAACTCTGATTGCAAATAGAATAAATAACTTTTGGGGTTTCCTAAATCAATATCCAATTTAAAAAAAGTGAGTCTCAAACAAATTTAGGAATCTATGCAGTATGCATCCTGTAATTTCCAACATGCTAATTTGCAAATTTTGACAACATAAGCTAAAAAAGCATTGGTTGGTGATACTTCGTGCCTTTCCCCCCTCCCCACCCCCCCCCCCCCCCACCCCCTAATTTTTCCAACAGGCATGAGACAGGTAAGTTTGTGTAAAAACCCTTGTCGCACAATACCATTACAATTTGCTTCATTTATTTACATATTGAATTGCATAGTATGTCAGATACAACAAGTATTGAAGCTAGATGTACAGGTACTGATTAACAACTGAAATAAAATAAAACAAATTAGAAATAAACCAATCTGTCAAACCTTTGGTTCGGCGGATGTCCACTGCTTTGCTGTTTCATATGCTTCTTGGGTCTTGTGTAGCTTGCTCAGGGCTTGGGTCTTACGCATTAATAATTTACCTAGACTACTTCTGGTCGGGGATAGGGCTAATAACTTGTTGATGTCATCCAGGGCTTTTTCATTTTGATCCTGTGAAGAAATAAAACAGTAGATTTGAGGGCAGAGGTCAAAGGTCGTCTGCAGGAGAACAGCAGGTGAAATCGGATATCATTTAGACAATTCACATACATACACTGAACTAAAAATGACGTAGGCTTTATAATAACATGTGCATGAAGTTCACCCCCTGCTTTGAATCTGTACATACATGTACAGACATGTAAAGGAAAATAGCATGCAATTCTTTGTACATGGACATAATTGATGAGGTGAGTTCACAAAGTACCAACATATTGTACATGAACATTTGAACATTATTCATTGCCTTTTTATATTAAAAAAATTAAAAAATTCTCTATTCTAATAAGTATCCTGTAAGAAGTCCCAATGGAACGGAAAATAAATTGATGAAACATACATGTATATGATTATGCTAATATGCTATTATGCACTCGACCTCCCTCCCCTTCCCCTCCCTTCTCCCTACCCCTCTCCCCTAAAAAATAAATAAATACAAAACAAATATAAACACAAGTCCACTCAAATAATATTTCATAGTACATGTACATGATGAAAGAGGAAACAAAAAAATATATGATATACTACTTACAGAGTATGCCTTTACCGATTAACTACTTCTCGAACTACCTTATTGCTTATAAACAAAATAGTTTTCATTGTATGCCTGGAAAGAATCATCATCATATCTACTGTTTACCTTAACCTTTTAATAGTCCTTGTCTTTTATCATTTCATGGAGACAGAAACTTGTTTTTAGAGTTGTCCCTCATAAAAGATTGAATTTCTACAAGTACACAGCCTTGATTTAGTGAGATAAAAGGGATGATGACAATACAAAAGTGTTTATCTTTTGGAATCGACATGCAACACCTGCCAGTGACAATATAATGGAGCTATACATGTATGCCTACATGTAATGAAGGAAATAATCAGCTCAATTGCGTTCCTTACAACCATGTGCATGTTATTAAATAGGGAAATGGACCTGCAATAGCTTTGATTTAATATGACCATATATCAAAAAGCACTAACAATTCATTCACAAGGTTAACATTTCTACTCAAGTTATCAAAAACAGTATTTATATTAGAATACAAATACGTCAAGTCACTTTTTGGAGTTCTTGTCTTGCTAAAATTTGATTTTATTTCAACGGAATCCACAAACATTTTCTAACTGTCCACAAGGTTGCAAGATTACCTAGGCACATTATTTCGAAAAATAATTTGTAAGCGTTGTGAGCTGTTACCAGTAAAATTTCACACGCAATGCTGTGATCAAATGTTACTTCTCCTTGTAGACTATGGCCTTCAGGACGTTTGTTTACATTTTGCTGGTCCATGCACTCAAACACTATCAATCGCTAGTTCTGCATAATGCTTCACTGTTTGAACGTGTATAATTAGTATGAAATCTATATCTCAAGTCCCAGCATTCAGCACTGTCATTTCAATGAATATCTTGACACCACTTGTGTATCAATTGGTGAGCCAACATTTGTTCCGATTGACATTTGCTTATAAAGTTCATGAAAGGATTGGGTTTGGGTTCCTATTTTGTTTTCAGTTTAGGATCAGGGGGTGTTTCACAAAGATCCTAAGTAGAACTTAACACTAAGTTGGACTTTAAAATTATGGACAGCCATTGGAGCCTTAAAATGAAATATATTCAAAAGCAAAAATTCAAGTATTTTAGACTTTTTTTTATAAATTCCACATCAAGAACATGAAATCTGCTTGATGATAGAAACTATAAATGATTTGAATCAACATTTTATGCCTTTCAAAAGAACTTTTACAAAATATTTTCAAAGATGCTAATGGCTTTCCATAATTTTTAAGTCCAACTTAGAATCTTTGTGAAACACCCCCAGGTCTTATACTGCTTGGTCAAGAACTCAAGAGAAGTAATTTGGTGTGTGTAGGAGATTGACCGTGGAAGCAACTGTTGCTCTACATGTAGCATAAGACCAGTGAAAACAATACAAAAGAGCGGTGAGCAATTTAACTGGAAAGCTCAAAAATAGTTCTGGTAAACAAACTGCAAAAAGCTCGGTTGAATAATAATAAAATACTTCAATATCACTGTGAGAAAATCACACTTTTACCATACCAAATCCTAAAAGAGCTTTAAAAGAAAAGTATTTTTTACACGGCATACATGTACATGTAAGACGTATTACTTGAAATTCGATGGTCGTGGTTCGATCCCCAACATGGCACTAATGTCCTTTGGCAAGGCATTAATCTACATTTGCCACACTCGACCCAGTTGAGGTAAATGGGTACGCCTCGGAATAGAATTGTCTAGATAGATGGTGCTCTATAAATGCCTATTATTATTATGACCAGTATTTTATTTCCATGTTTATAGTATTTTGGTAACTACTCAAACAGTGCAACCAACCACCAACCCCACCAGAGAGAGTGAGGTACACAAGGAGACAAAGGAACAAGCATTTGTTCACATTTACTTTTCCTTGAAAGAGCAAGGTCTTCAGGGTGGGATAGTAGCATAGTCCAATCATGAGTTCAACTAGGATTAACTGTTTACAGTATAAAAAGGAAGTGCATTTCCTGCAATTCACAGCCAATGGTTCGTACAAATTTGAATGAGAGCCATTGTGATACATTTTTGTCAATGTTTTCCTTTGTTCTCTCTGTATGTACATGTATAATGTATGCATGTTAAGCTTTCAGTTAACAGGGGAAATGTAAATGAATAACTGTACAAATGATTTCAGTCAGTCTGGCAAATTGACATTTGTTTGCACTTTTACCAAAATTGTGTAAGTCTTCTGAACATTTTTCTCATACCATCATAATTTTTCAAAAGTAACGCAGTACGTCAGACAACATCAGGGATTATCTTCACATGCTTTTCTTCATAAATAATCTAGAACTACTAGAATTATCTGTATTTTTAACAATCCAGACATTCATTAGCCTTTCTATCAGGCAATTGAAATATAAAAAGATTAGGTCAACTAATATTTATGTCAACATGCCTTTGACACATAGGTGTAGAAAAGATTATCATCTAATCCAGGATTTGTGTGTTTTTATGAAGCATTTCAAGATACATTACAATGACGCCACTTTTATTTATGCTTACATGAAACATGAATCACCTTAAGGACCTATATTCATCATAACACTCCACTGTAGAAACAGAAACTTTAACATAAGATGATTCTTCTACAAATTGATGAGGACTGAGTGTGTATAGTGTATAATTGGGTTTTTACAGACATGAATTAATCAGATAGCATTATTTACGTCTAGGACCAGACCGTTAACGTCGTGACTTGGTTCAAACTAGGTTGCGATCAGAGTTAGTTTTTAGACGAGGACATAGAGCTGACCGCGGCCATACTCTATACCAACTTAGATCTTTCTGATTTTTGTATTGCAAGAAGTTTTCACAAATGCAAAATTAGATGTTGGTTATATAATCAAACATTTTGTAGCATGAAACTTTTGTCGATCTTGACAAATTGTGATACATGCATGTACAAAAGTGTCATGCACTTAAACTTTCTGGTCTTACAGAAATTTTTAGAGCAATTGTTTGGTACAGTTTATAGAAGTCCACCTTTCATCTTTACAATACAGTCAAACCTGACTCAGTGGGCACCTCTATAAAGGGCCATCTGTCTATAGTGGCCACTTATTTTATTTCCCTTGGGTGGCCTTTATAGGCAGGTTTGACTGTATTTTTTTACCCATGGGTAACTTACCAACTTGAGGAAGCATGTGGCACGTTTATTGAGGCAGGAGAGATGGTGGTCTCGATGGTGATGGTGTTGATGGGGGCTGGGAGAGGCGTGATTGTTTTGATGGGCGTGGCTATTATTACTGTGTCTGGGGCTACTACTTGCTGTTTGGGGCTGCTGACGTGGTGTCTGTTGCTGGGTGTTGTTGCTGCTGCTGTTGCTGCTGTCCCCCCATGCTGTGGCTGTGGCTAGCTGCTGCTGCAGAGCTTGGGTGAAAAGCTCTGCAGCCTGCTGGTACTGCTGCCGCGAAAACAAATCATTGGCCCGGTCATGGAGCTGTTTGTGCCTAGTGTCCATGGTATGCCACCGGACCTATAACCAAAGGAAAATTATTATATTATAACCCATAAACTTATAAAGTTATGTAGCTAAATGATTCTGGTTCTAGTTTTGGCAGCCACTGCATAAACTCCTCAGCTGGGATGTAACATGCAGGCGCAGTGGACTGAGCAGAGTACTTAATTTCTAAAGTGAGCTCTAGCAGTTATTATGCCCATCTTGATCTTTTGTAAGTTATCTTTGAAGGCTCCTAGGGTGGAGACATTTCTAACATGGGTCGGGAGAAAGTTCCATTCAGGGATATAGGGAGTGTTTATAACAGTCCTTTACAGTAGATAACGGCTTAACTTTAGAATACCCCACCAACCGGTTTAATGTACATAGACGTCAAAGACCTAGGATTAGGTTTAGTGTTACTTAAAAAGCTCAAGTCTTGAGATTTAGCTCATTGGTGAAGGGTTTGGTACCATACAAACGTTTGGTCAATTTTTGTGGTGGGGTATTCTAAAGTTCTTGAATGATACTGAAGAATGTATTTTTGTAGATACCCCTATTCCAGATGATCTGTTTTGGTAGTGGTCAGTAACAGCAAAATAAGTTGTGGATGGATTTGTAGAGGAAAGTCAACCTTACTCACTGTCCGTGGCATGTAATAAAATAAGACCGGAACGTTTACAATACATTATTTCTGTCTAACTTATAGCATGCCAATCCATGGCATTGGAACAGATTTTGTAGACTAAGAGTGAGTGACAAGAACTTGTTGTGTTGTGTGCAACTGCAACTTGCATTTGCAAGAGGAAATTATCAAAATTAAAGATTTTATTTTAATTTCCCATGCATGTTTCCTCAAAAGGGTCAATGAAATAGAGGATTCACAATTTCACAATCTCTTACACACTATGGTGAGATGAACACTAACAAGTAAGTTTTTTTAAATACTATTTACAAATTCCATTATCACACTGACAAATGTAGGATTGCACTTGCAGTACCACATTACCATTGGCATTGCATTGTACAGGCACAGCACAGCTGACATAACATGAACACACACGCAATTCAACACCGTTGTTTGGGGCAGAATCATTCATTGCATGCCATTGCCGTTGAATGGGCAAGCGAGACCTCGACAATAAACATTTTTCAACTCTGCATATAACCAGTCGACTTTCTCACAAGTGCAATTCCCGGATATCTGTACTCATACTGAGCTTCAAAATTAAATACCAGGAAAACAAGATGGTTTTAACTTACCTAAAATTGCACAGACCTTGTCAAGTATCTCTCTCATTCTCCGCCATTATGCCAACAATACGTTTGTGATCAACAGCAAAGTTTAGCGCGCGAGATCGCTTACGCATTTAATAATCCGGACGGGCGCGCCATTCACCTCTGCCCTATATACCTTATGTACATAGGCCAGACGAAGACGACACGCACGGATATTGTTGCATTGGAAAGTCGTGAATGACTTTTTATTCTAGCTTAGTACTCGATCGTAGATGCAAGAAAATGAAAATAAATAGAATTTACAATTTCGGCAAGTTCTCAACGTATTTTGTACCAACTCCATGCATATTTCACGAAATGAAGAGACATAACGTTGAGGGAAGCAGGCGCGTAGCCAGGTGGGGGGGGGGGGGGGGGGGGGGGGGGGGGGGGGGGGGGGGGGGGGGGGGGGGGGGGAGCAATGGGGGCAGTCGCCCCCCCTCAAAAAAAACAGAAAAGAGAGAGAGAGAAAGAGAAGGGAAAAAAAAAAAGAGGACGTAGGAAGAAAAAGGGAAAAGGAGTTGAGAACGGTACAACGAATCGTTTTCTTTCTCTAATAATTTTAATGAAACGTCAAAGCTTCCGCGCTTTTCGCGGGAAGGGGAAAACTGAGTTCAAATTAAGGATTAAGAGTCGAGAACGGTACAACGAATCGTCTTCTTTCTCTAATAATTTAATGAAACGTCAAAGCTTCGCGCGCGAGAGGGGGTATAAATAAATATTTTTAAAAAAAGAAAATGCAATAAATTTCAATAAAATTTTTGCATTTTACCCCGGTTCCCAACATTAAACAATCCTCTGTGTGCCCATGCCTTGAGCCATAATGCATGGCAGTCTAGAGGATTTTTGTATGTTGGGGACCGGGGTAAAATGCAATAAATAATTGAAAATTCATTGCATTTTTTAATTCTTTTTTTTAAATGTATGAAACTGCCCTCTACCCTAGCCCCCGCTGCGTACAGTCATGGTTCAGTGACAAAGCAATGGCCTCGTAACTGTGAGGCCCTGGGATCAAAACCGCGTCTATGTGCTATATTAGTGCCCTTTTGGGGGCATTTATCCTCATTACTGTCATTTATGACTTAAGGGCGTAGGTCCCCTAGTTGATAAGCATAGTAGCATACACATGCTTTAGAAGTCACGCAAAACACACATTGGCAAATTATTTTTCAATAAAATCTGAGAATATATACTATTATCTAGATCTATTATTTTTAAATGGGGTAAAACAAAAATATTCCAACTACATGAGCGACAGTGCATGTATCTCAGGCTCTTACCCCTCTCTCTCCTCTCTTTTACCCCCCGTTTCTTTTGTTTCCTTTTTCTCTTTTTGTTTTTCTTTTCTTTCTTCTCCTTCCTCTTTTTCTGTTTTCTCTTTCTTTCTTCTTTTCTGTTTCCTTTCTTTTCCCTTTATTTTTATTTTCTTTCCCTCTCATTTCCCCCCTCCCCCTTTTCTCAATTTCCCCGACAGCAGCGCAATTTTACCGACAATATCCCGACATTTATCGACGCCCCTGGTTGTAGTACCATTATCCTTTTAAACGAAATGCAATTATTCATGCTCTCGCACCTCTCTTCTATCGTTGTTTAATTCTCTTTCTTTTTTCCTTTCTCCTTTAACACAAATTCTTTCTCTCCCCCCCCCCTCCCCCTTTTTCATCTATTTTTGTTGTTGTTCTTCTTGTGCTTTTTTGTTTTGTTTGGGGGGGGGGCTACACGTCTGGCAAGAGGGATCCCATATTATGCACACTGCAGAATTGCGCCCGCTCCTTTCCCGGTAAAAAAACACCTTCTTATAATATTATCCACCTTTCTTTCTTTTTCCTTCTGATTATTCTCATTTCCCCCCTTTCTTCCCTTTCCGCCTTTTCTCTCATCTATCTTCCCCTTTCTTCCTTTCCCCGCCTGTTCTCCTCTCCCCGTTTCTCTCCTCCCTCTTTTCTTCTTCTTTCTCTCTTCCCTTTTCTTTCTTCTTCCCTCCTTTTTCTCCTTTTCTCCCTTTTTCTTTCCCCCCTTCACCCCTTTGTTTTACCGGGAGGGCACGTGCCCCCTGTGCCCCATCAATCCGCCACTGCCATGAACTTATACCTAAGGTTTGTATTACCTTTAAGGTCATGAGAATATTTGGATTATTGACAGGAAGAAGGCGACAATCTGGTTGAGAAAAAAATCATGCATTTGTCGAAAAGTCATTATTTCAGTTGATAGCTGAACTGGATAATTGCCACAATGTTTAGGCCAACAGTATAGCGGGTAAGGAAAGATCATGACGACCGCTCGTGCATATTAATAATTTATTCTTGATATCAATTATTAGGCAACTTAGTCTTATATCTTAATATAATTCATTAGCCTTATTATTAAGGCTAATTTGCCTGATGAATGATATCAAAAATAAATTATTTTGTTTTAAAATGTTCCACACACAATGGAAAAGCCATAAAGACACAGAAGGAAAATAAAAAAGGTAGTGGAAAATAAAAATATGTATTTGTTTGAAATGCCGCAGTTGAAAGGCAAGAGAAAAAAGAGAAATATAAAGATTATCATAAAGAAAGGTGAAAAAAAAGAAAATGATGGAAGAATCAAAGAAAGGTTCACATAATGTAAACATGAAGAGAGAGAGAGAGAGAGAGAGAGAGAGAGAGAAATAAAATATTGATTTAAAAGAAAGAAATAGGCTACTTGGAATTGATTGAAGATTAGATGAAATTAAAAACAGTGTTTTATATATCATAAGGAAATATAAGGAAAAAGATGAACGAGAAATATAACAGAAGATAATGAAGAAATACAAAAGAATGAAGGAAGAAAGGTCAAAGGCCTAAATGAGAAAATTAAAGGAAAACTAAAGGAAAATGATTAAAACAAAAAGTCAACCATCAGCAGTCGTGAGGTTCAGACCGCCGTAGACAAAAACAAATAAATACGTAAGAAATGATAACAGAAGAGATGAAGAAAATAAAATCATAGAGTAGAATAACAAAAGATGGAAGAAAATTTTAACGTAGGTAAAAACAAAGAAAAACAAGAAAATTCAAAGAAAGGATAAACATACAAAAATAGAAGAACAAATAAAGGAAAGGAATTACGAAAGAAAAGATGAAAGGAGGAAAAAATCTTGAATTAACAACAAAACAAATGATATAGTATGGCACAAAACTGCGCCAAAGTAGAACAAATTTACTTTCAACATTATTATCAACAATAAAAATCTTTGACACACAATAACATGGAATTAAATCACCGATTAATGAAATAATTAAACCCAACTTTCTTACCGACCCCCCCCCCCCCCCCCCCCCCCCCAAGGTAATGCGTTAGGGTTGCACATCCCCATTACAAATTAATATACAGGGCCTGAGATAATCTATATGCAGTCGAACAACCGTAATCGTCAATTTCCCCGAGGGGCGGTTTGCCAAGGAACCCACGAACTTGAAAGCCAGTTTTCGATTTTCCTTATTTACCATGCTTGTTATACAATAAGCCTCACAGTTCTAAATGGAAATATCATGTAAAAGAAACAGAAAATAATAAGTAAGAAAATAGGAATAAACAGTAGGTTCTAAAATATTTTTTGTGATCTGTAAATTATTTTCACTGCGTATATTCGAATATAATATAATATATGGAAATGTTTACTTGAAAATAAAAGCTATATATGTTCCAGTTTTGACGGCTTTGTGGACATATATATGGTAACTTTCTTACATTTTTTATTTTCTGATTTATTTCTTTGTTTTGTCGGTCTACTGCAGGGACTACCCACTTGAGAGCTATATCGAGGAGGTTTCTTTGACACGCTCGACCTTGATAAATTATCCTTTGTTACAAGGGGGCAGGGCGAATGATCTTTTAAAATGAATATAAATAATTTGTGCATAGCATAGCCAGAACCCGGGAGCAAGAATGTCGTAGGGGTAAGCATTAATTTATAGTCAGAATATTGTAAGTGCCCCCCCCCCCCCGGCCCCGAGAGTGAGAGAAAGAGAGAAGATCGAGAGTCAAGGCGCGGACCCCCCGGTTTGTCACTTGCTAAGGAGTTATGTATGATGATTGGCGGAGTTGAAAATGACCCTTATTTACTTTTAGGAAAAACTTTCCAGCAGAAAGTTGCCCCGTTTTAATCATCAGTGCCCCCCCCCAAAAAAAAACAACAAACAAACAAACAAACTCGCATTTGCTCCAAATGAATAATGAATGTGTTCTAAATTTGGCTTAGATATCGAGTTGGTGTTGAACAATTTCCCAAATTTCCCAAAACTTTGTAATACCTTTAACAACAAAACAAATGATATAGTATAGCACAAAACTGCGCCAAAGTAGAACAAATTCACTTTCAACATTATTATCAACAACAAAAATCTCCGGAAAAATCTATGACACACAATAACATGGAAGTGAAATTAAATCACCGATCATAATGAAAAAATTAAACCCAACTTGTTTACCGACGCCCCCCCCCCCCCCCCAAGGTAATGCGTTAGGGTCGTACATCCCCAAATTGGCCTATTTTACCAAATATGGGCCTGAGATAATCTATATGCAGTCGAACAACCGTAATCGTCAATTTCCCCGAGGGGCGGTTTGCCAAGGAACCCACGAACTTGAAAGCCAGTTTTCGATTTTCCTTATGCATTTACCATGCTTGTTATACAATAAGCCTCACTGTTCTAAATGGAAATATCATGTAAAAGAAACAGAAAATAATAAGTAAGAAAATAGGAATAAACAGTAGGTTCTAAAATATTTTTTGCGATCTGTAAATTATTTTCACTGCGTATATTCGAATATAATATAATATATGGAAATGTTTACTTGAAAATAAAAGCTATATGTTCCAGTTTTGACGGCTTTGTGGACATATGTATGGTAACTTTCTTACATTTTGTATTTTCTGATTTATTTCTTTGTTTTGTCGGTCTACTGCAGGGACTACCCACTTGAGAGCTATATCGAGGAGGTTTCTTTGACACGCTCGACCTTGATAAATTATCCTTTGTTACAAGGGGGCGGGGCGAATGATCTTTATGCGCCACTTAAAAAACCCCCCTGTGCCACATTCTTTTAGGGTCACACATTTCG